CTCACGTAGAGTAATGAAGGGGAATGTACAGTAACTGAAGAGTGCAAGCATGAAGAATATTTTGTGCTTTCTATCAGCTTTACCCTGAACACTTCCTTGACATTTTGCAAGCATTACCCATGATTCATGTACATCCTCTAAGCTGGCAAAACATTAGACAATGAAAATAAGCCATGATACCGTTAAGGAACTTGTCTTAAAGTGAATTATAAACATGGTGAAGAGAGAAACCCAGGAGGTCTAGAGGAATATGTAGAATATGTGTACTGCTATTACAAGTTTAAAAAAAAAAAAAAAAAACAAACAACAAAAAAAAAAATTTTATCTCCTGAAAGTCAAAAGTCCTCAAGAGTAATTCAATTGTTTCAGCTTTGGATACCAGCAAAAGTCAGAAAGCCTATGTTTCTGGTGAGTACACAGATACAAGTTTTGCCTGGTTTCAGTAGAGAAAGTAAGTGAGATGGGGGCAGTGATGTTTAGTGACAGACCAAGGTTCAGTTCTTGCCTCTGGAGCAATGGCAACCTCCTGATCATGGTGACAGCATTATCTATAGATCCTTCCTTTGATGATCTGGTGCTAAACTTACAATAAATCTGGAGCTGAGTGAAGTTTGGGATTTCATTGCAAGTAATCAATTTTGGATCTGCTGTTTCACCCAGCATTTCCAAGAGTGTGTAGTCTAAGTTTCTGCCTGCTATAGGTATGCTTTTGTGTGTAATGCTAGTTGTGGCATGCTGCAGGCCAGGCTGCTCTCCTGATGCTGTAGCCCAAGTTCCTGCTTTATCAGCACCATTATGTATACAATAAGAGCAATTTCCCAGCACTCATGGTGGGGATTTGCTTTGTGGCTACTAGTGTTGCTATAGCTACATTTCCCTAATGTTCATTATTTTCCATAGTGTCTTTGTCACGCATCCAAGGATGCTGGCATTAAGCAAGCTCACAGCATGTCATTTCTGCCTTGGGAACTATTGCTAGGTGCACTGAATTGACCAAGGGATATCGCAGCTGGTGCTTTGCCTGAGCTAAATCTACTTCAACCATGAAGGAAGTGGTGAGGGCAATACTTAAGAGCTTCTTTGCAGCAGTGTGATGGGAAAGGAAAGCTTACAGTCACAAGGGCCCCTTTCCAAGGGGGCTGAACAGGAAGGAGGAGAAGGAATTGTCATCTCTCAAGAGAACAAATGCAGGGAGGGGAGGGAGCATAGGCAACTTTGGTTAATTGCTGGGTTGTGTAATGAGCTGGGGTGCTGGACAGCTGCTGTATAGTCCCCATTGTGACAGCCGCCTGGTTGGGGGTGTGCTGCTCTAGGGCATTTTAGCTGGGTTTTGTTTTTTGTTTTTAAATGGTTTAATGAGCAAGCTAAATAGCTGTAAAATTCAGAGTAGGGTCTCAAAAAGCTCACTGTCCCTCAGGCATGCATATGTATCTGGTACGGTGCAGAAGGGGCAATGAATTCTGAACAGCCATCTACTTGCTGCGGGAGGGAGCTACCTACAGAGCTCTGTTACAAAGAAAAGACACCAAAGAGTCAAGATTACTGACAACTGAAAACTGATATCTAAGAGGTACTCCAGTCTCTGCATCTACTCTTAAACACCAATCTTAGCTTCTGAGGCCTTGATTAGTGCATAAGAGATGTTAAAACAGTAACTCTGTCTTGCTGATAGGCACCAAAACATGGCACTCGTGATTTCAGTAGACATGCAGGCGTTGTATGGAATCTCATCCTCTCTGAGTCAGTATTGGCCTATTAAGGACACTGAGATGATTAAGAAATTGGAATATCTGTCATAAAAGGAGAAGCTGAGAGACCTGGGTTGACGTTAGCCTGGAGATGAGAAGGCTCAGGGGGGCTTTATCAACATGTACAAAGTTCTTGATATGGGAGGGAGTAAAAAGATGAAACCAGACTCTTGGTGGTGGTGTCCAATGACAGGACAAGATGCAAGGGCACTACTGAAAATACAGGCAATTCCACTTAAACATAAGGAAAAATCTGTTTACTCTAAGGGTTGTCAAAAACCAGAACAGATTGCCAAGACAGGTCGTGGAGTCTCCATCCTTGGAGATACTCAAAACCCAACTGGATTACTTTCCTGAGCTCTAGATAACACTGCTTTGAGCTGGGAAGTTTAGACTGGATGCTCTCTAGAGGTCCTTCTATCTCAACTATTTTGTGGTTTCTCTGTGATTCCGTGGTTCCATGGTTTTGGGTCTGAAGAAGCCTGAATAAAGTATGAGGTTCTGTTACTACTGGTGTGCATTAAGTGACCAAAGCAAGGCCAATTATACCTATATGGCACTACAGAATACTGATCAGATTTCACAGTCTTATTTCTAAATCTACAGAGCTACATCAGTACAAAAATATGTGCAAATCATACTTTACTGTTATACATTCCTATGAAAGTGCTGTCCCCTTCCATCACACATGCTACTGTACATTTAAAGATTGGTTTAATGGTGGACTCTCAGCTGTAGTCTGCTTAAGCCGCAAGGGCCAGGTTTCTTTTCAGTATAGAGATCTCAGCTGGCATCTATTCTTTGTAGTATTACAACAATAGTCAGTCATCTTTGCAAACAATCTTGATGTTGATACAGGCAATCTTTATGTTGATCCCAGCTTTGTGATTTAACAACGGTCAGAAACACCATTCAGAAGTAACTGAGTGTTTTTCACCACGAGGTGCTGTTCCATTATAATTCCAGTAAGAAAGGCACTCAGCTCCTGAAAAGGATCATTTAAAATGCTATATGCTAGACCCAACACTATAAGGGGAGAGAGAATAGCAGGGATAATCTTACATCTGTTCAGATGGTGGGAACCCCAAGTTCTGCAGCGTTGAACAGGTACCTATGTGCTGATCAGGGCACAGCATGCTGTGCAGACCCAGTCTGTGGAAGCGTTACTCCATTTGGGTCATTTGAACTATTACAGGATTTTCTTACAGGAAAATAACTCCATTTCTACTGCCAAACAAAAAGGACATTCACATGAGAACTTCTTGCTGCACTGTTAGATAAATGCAAGGACATGCAGGTGGCATAATTACTGATACCAAATGGGGGCTGCCTCCAGGCTCTGTTACAGTTAGCTGGCTAGGTTTATCATACAGCCAAGGAATATTCACAGCACAACACAGGCCTGAGATTAAATTGTACATGCAGCACAGCACAGGTTAACTGGTACATAGATCACCTTTCTCAGTGCACAACGGTCAGGATCATTGCACTGAGATATGTGACACTATCTCCAGTCCTCATTCTGCAGATGAGATTCCAATATACTTAACAAAAAAAAAAAAAAAAAAAAAAAGCTGACAGGGGTTATCTCATACTAGGTAAACCCCACAACCCAGTTAGGTTCAGCTGCTAAGAACATTTCATAAGAACAGTTCTTATAAAACTCCATTATTATTTTCCATCACTCATAATTTTCAGTACATGAAGAAAGTGCTTCGTTCCGAAAGCACCCTTACTTTAAGGTGAAGAGCAGGTTTATTCATAATTTAGGCTTTGGTCTAGATTTGCACAGATCCTGTCAGAATTGTAGACTCGTCTTATCTGCATTTCCCTGAGGCCGTGTATTTCATTATCATTATTTTAGGACCTGTAGGACCACCAGCATATACTATGTAGTAGTATAGGAGTAGCTCTGCTCCAACGCTACAAGCGACTGATTGCAATTAATGTCACCGTAGTGATGTGCCCATAGATGGCAGTATTTCCTAGTTCTTATTTTGCAGTACTAGTGATACTTGCATTTTCTATATCTTTTGTCATCCCAGATGTTGTTCAGTAAGGACATAAACTCCAACCATAAAGATAAAGAAAAGTTGTTAGGATTTATGCAAGTTACAGTCAGATCAGTTTCTATGCTAAACAGTATCAAATCAGAAATGAGCCAGAGCAGTATTGTTTCATTTTCTGATAGTTAAGGAACGGTTTCTTTTATTACATATAAATGTGTATCACTGAACCTTGATCTCAGAAGAAATCCTCTACTATGAGGGTGGTGAGGCACTGGCACAGGATGCCCAGAGAAGCTGTGGATGCCCCATCCCTGGAGATGTTCAAGACCTGGTCTTTAAGGTCTCTTCCACCCCAAACCATTCTGTGATTCTGTAATAGATGTTACTGTGTGTAAATAAAGAATTGCTCTAGTTATGAGCATCTCTAGGTATGAATACCTATTTGAAAAAAAAAAAAAAAGAGAGAGAAAAAAAAGTTCTCCCAAATTTTTCTAAACATAGTGTCTATGTAGGAAGAATTTGTGAATGTCATTTCAGTCCTTCAGTCCTTCTCTCCTCAAAATTTATCTGCTATCTAGACTGTCAGTCGAGCTCATGAGTAGTACTAGTACGAAGGTGACTGGCCTTTAACTTCTAACGTGCAGAACTAATCAACCCTTGCAAGTCTGCAGTTTCCTTAAAATGTATTCAGGCTCTGGCTTGAGAGACACTCTCTATGGGATCACACCAGGACCATGACAGATGGAGGGCCTGTCACACAGCATGTGGTGAATTGCATCTATCTAGCTCTGCTCAAAATTGGTCTGAGAGGCTCTGAGATTTTCTATGGATGAAAGTTTCTTTGTTATATAACAGATTACAAAGCATTTGGAAGGGCAGTTCTGCTTTGAGTCACTCTGCTAGGAGCATTAGCAGACTAGATCTGCATAAAGTTGCATGCCTCATCCGAAATAAAGTTCAGACCGAGTGAGGATGTCATTAGAGGAATTATTATCATGGTATCAGTTTAAAAGCTCTGAATTATTATTCCTACAGGATAAGAACATGGAATATGGCAGAATATCTCAGAAGGTGGTAGTACCCACATTAGGGTTATGCACAAGAGGTACCATCGTGACAAAATCTGCCTTTACAGGAAGTTTAAGAACAATCCCTCACTACCAAAGGATTATTATTCCCATTAGTATTGGTTAGCAGTTAGTATCAAAATGTCTTTTTCATAAAAAGAAATTGAAATGCAATTCTGTGTTTTCAGAAATCTTTTTAATATCCCTGTAAAACAGGAAACACTTCTGTCAAACAGCTGCAAAGATGATGCACAAATGTGGAGTAACAAATAGTGCCATAAAGATTGTCTTCCTAATCCAGAATTGTTCTAAACTACAGAAAAGACACCTTTGCAAGAAGTACAGAAATATTTTTACTGAGAAGCTTTTTAAAGTTGCCATGGTACAAAAAGTGAATTGTGCATTTGTGTGCAGTGTTATCTTGCATAGAAGTACATGTACAGTAATCAAAACCAAAGCGAAAGGCCAAATAGCAAACGGAGGTAACAACAAGATGAATAAAAATTTGGCTGAAGATACTGGACAAAATTGTGCAAATAATCCTCTATATGCAACATAAATGTAGTGTATTCAGAATGTGTGGAGAGTAATGCTTCTTAGAAGGCTCAAATTCAGTTAATTTAAGACAAATCATTAAACTCTGCTTATATTTATACTGATACAGTTCCAGGTTTATTTCACTGATTTAAAGTTACTTTGGATCTCTATCAGTATGTTTGAAATTAGTGTCTGGCTCACATCATAAATTCCATTTATATCTTTTCCTCACTTCCAACAGACTATATGAGGGCAGAAAGCAAAACATGGCTCTGGGCTTTTATTATAATTGTTTTACAATGGCTTTTTCCAAAAGCCATACTTTTAATTTGTTTAATTCCTCATTCTTTCAAAACATAAATCTCTCATCCATAGTGAAAATAAACAGCTATTTTATTGTCTTGTTTCTACTGCAATTTTATAATCAAATGCTTCTTCATATCTCCTGAAATCAAGGAAGTTTTAAAATATGTACAATTCAGTTAAATAAGTGCAGTTATAATTTCCTGTGTTTTAAAGTTACTCTTCCAATGCACATCTAAAAATTCTGCTTCCATATACACCATCTTCTAGATAAAGGTATTAGAAGTACTCACATAGAAAACAGCTACAATCTTACAAATGCGAACAGTAGATTTCTGCTCAAATCCAAGCTCACACTAACAAAAAAACTTTTTTTACAAGAGTAATAATCTGTACAGAGAGTTATTTACTCTAATTTAAAGAAACCAATGGGACTTCCCATAGATTTGTTCAGTGCGTAGGTGGGAATTACAAGATAGTTAATCAATGGAAAGGTTTAATGGAAGATGAAATGTATGTATGCCACAAGACACACACAGTCATTTCATTTGGTTTTGTATTGCATTCCTTTTTACATGGATGTGGAATAGAAGAATACTGACCTTATCTACAGCTGCTCATATTGCTGGAAAATATTAATATCCCGTCCAGATATTAGAACTATCTTGTTGCTTTGAAGACAGATAGCTAAAGGTTAAAGGTATCCTATTTTTCTATCAGTTTCTTGATTTAAGATGTCCAGTGATGGTGGTTTAAATTCCTGTGCTGGAGTGATGACTGGAAATGGTTCCACATTGTTCAAACAACCACAAGTAACCAAACTGAGTCCTTCCACACAAAAGCATGATTAAAAAAAAATACTGATTTGCTGTCCAGAAGCCAGCAGTGCACAACTGTATGTAAGGGACAACTAATCTTCCAGCAAAACCAGCAGTCTCCGATCTCTTTAGTTGGCCTCTGAATAGTAAAGCTACTTTAAAAGGCTGCTGCCCCGTTGTCATAGTACAAAAATATTTTCCTAATAATTAATATATTATTCAACAGAACACACAAAGTGTCCATGACAATTTAACAGCAGTGTTGCATTTGTGGCTTGCTGTTTCTCCAAACTGTATGCCGAGATTTACCAAGGGGATGTTAAGCAAGGTTTTTAAATTTCTTAGAAATCCGAGCAATCTGACAGAGCATGTTGTGTAACACTTGTCTGTGCTGGCTTGACGTCCCTTTAAAGCAATTGCTGAGTGTCCCCTGGAGTCCAAGGGGGATAGCAACAGTGAAGAGAAATGTTGCAGTCAATAGGAATCCATTGCTTGAAGTTTCTGAAGGACTTCCAGAACAAATTCATAACAGAATAGATACTGATCCTGCATACAGAGACACCAGTGTGAAACATCCAATTAAATGTAACAAAAGTTCTAGACAAAAAAGGATGGACTGGCTGTCATGCTGTTTTTAACACCAGCATCTTTGTAACAGGGATACAAAAATTTAGATATTTGAGAGCATCCTCAATCTTTTTGTTCCATAACTCATAAAAAGTTCAGGAGCTTTTTTTGATTCAGTGCAGTACCTGTAGGCATGTGCTTAAATCTCACTGAGGTCAGTGGCTGTTATCTATTTGCTTAATTTTAATCATGTGCTCAATCATTTTGCTGAAGCTTGTGCTTAAATACTTGCATACAAGAATAATTTATCCTAATCTTGTCTTATTTTCTTCCCAATTTCCGTTTTCTCAAAGTTGTGTTAACCTTATTTTCTCTTTTCCTGTGTGAACACACTTCAGGGGTAGGTTTATCTCAGCACTAGAAGGACAATGAGAGCTCAGCAATTGCAAGAATTCAACTGAAGGCTGCAGTTTTGCAGGGTAGAGTCTCACCCGTTTCATTGGTGAGCCCCGCTTTTCTTTTTACCCAAAGAAGAAATGTATCTGTACTGTATTGGTGCTTTGAAGTGAATTTCAAGTGCCTGCAAGCTGCCCTTAGAGGTTATTTTCTGTTTTTAATTTTTTTTCTTAATTTCAGCTAGCTAGTAAGGAAAACATCTTCCATATTTAAATATAGACACCAATTGTATGCAAAGCTGTCATTTTCCTCATAAGAGGGCTAAAATTCAGCTTTAAGCCAGAGATTTATCAAAGCATGAGAATATGTACCACAAATGGAAACTTTTTAAGATCACAGCCTAGTCAGAATATTGAGAACTTACCTTAGTTTGGATCATGCCAAAACGCTGCTCTCTCAAATCTCTCACTATGTGCTTAATGTTGAACTATCAGAAGAGAAAACAATTTTTATTTTATTGATGTTCAAGTTATGAAAAATGACTTGAACATGTTCTGTTGGGAAAGCTGGGGCTCACTTCTTCTACAAATAGTGCATTTTAGTTATTATCTCTGTTTTGCAAAATAACAAAAGCATCATTTATTCCATTTTGTTAGGATTAATTTCTACCAGGAGTAACTCATGTAGTAAGATACCTACATATGTCGTTGACGTATATGTCAGTAATATTTATATTTACTGTAATATTTAACAATGATGTTTGATACTTACGCATAGATCTTTTTCAATATAGCTCAGCAGGATTTCAGCACACAGCAAAACTCCACTTCTTCCAATCCCAGTACTACAGTGAGCAACAATAGGTCCTGTCCTGTGGGCTTTTCTCATGTAGCAAATAAATTTTACAAGCTGCTCAGCCAGTTTGGGTGTATTATGGTCTGGCCAAGTGGTAAACTGCAAATGCCTTATAATTCGTTTTTCTTCTGTCTGGAATAGAAAGCCAGAAATGCTTATCAACTGGCAGCTTAGTAACATAGCTATATAAATTCAATAAAAATGCAAATAAATACAAGTAAAGTAAATAAATACAAATAACATTTTCTTTCCCTATTGTTTCTTATGTCAAAAAAGGTTAAATGAAAAAAAAAACATAGTATTGTATTATACTGGTAAAGACTTCTATTGTAAAGACCTGAGTCCAGTCAGTAACTTTTCAGCAAAAATGATTGTTTAGGTAGCTGAAGATCTTCAGTATAAAGCATCCAGGAACTGTAAGGACTGAAGCCTTCCAAAGTCGAGGTTAGAGTGGCAGTGGATTCCTATTGACTAGGTTAAAATGAATACGAAAGACCTACCTAGATTTTTGCCATTAGAAGAATTTGAATGCATGCCTGGATTTCTGCTGAAGTAAACCTATGATTCTCTATTAATTTGATACTGGTCCAGTACAAACATTGCAAAAATAACATGTTCATTTAAACAAGATAGGAACCCAATCACATATACAAGCCAATATTCCTACTATCTTTTGGATAGACACATATAAAATTACTATGTTTACACTCAGTGACATAAGGTGAATTGTGTTTTCTTAATACAAATAGCTGTCTTGTTGGAAAACTAAGTTAGTCTGGCACAAGTAAGAATATATAAATGATTCCATTAATCAGTCTTTCCCACAGAAATTTCTGCAATGTTTTGTTTCATATGGAGGCAAGACTGATGGACTTGTCCCCCAGTTTCCACGTTCTTACAACTGGGTTCTGTATTTGTTAGTTCTTCAAAAACGAGTTGTTCATTTTATAGTTTCATGTGTGTTCATGTCTTTTCACAAATGAAAAAAGTTATCATTCCTTTTAAATATTAGGATGAAAGCCACCTTCTTTAAATCCTTCCTTCCACCCACTTTTACAGAATATGAACCCACTCAGGCAGCCCTTACTAATCTGATTTGGTAAGAACACCAAGCAATTCTGCAAAATACTGAACACTGCAACTCTGTGGCTATTAAAGGACTAACTCTTGGACATTCTCACCCAAGTGTTTTTAATATTGGATCCATGGCTTGTTCAATAAGCAAAGAAGCAGCATTTCATTTACCTTAATTTCCTTCCAGCTACTCAGACTTTTACATTCCTAAAACTGTACTGAGCAGACGTTACAGAAAACAAACAAACAAAAAACAGTAATACCAGTATTTAATCATGTAAGATAACTAATCAATTGCTTTGTATATGAAAGTATTAACTAGACACAACTTACCTGCTTGTTGATCATTTCTATTATTCTAACTATGAAGTATTCCAGAATCTGGTGACTGTCTAGCCTGAGATGGAAGTTAGTTAAGTCTATGGAATCATGTGGAGGTTCAGGCCAGTATCGATGACATTTCACTTTTCCTAGCTCCACTTCTTTCGTCATCATGGCAATCACATCTGACTCACTCTCCCAAATCATCTGCCAGAAATCCGCCATGGTGGAAGGCAAAGGGCCTTGGGTTATAATAAAGAAATGTTCCTCTTCTCCAACTTTCATTCTAATATAACTTGCATTAATGTAGCCTTTGTTTTCTCCCAGAGGAACTCGTGTCTTATCATCTGGACATAAACAGAAAGTTACTATTTCAGTTGTAGATCTGAAATGGAGCTGTGCCATACCTAGCATCTAGGAGATGGGGTACCTCAACCCCTAGCTGTGAAGTATGCCTCTGTTTTTTAGAACACATTTGGCAAGCAGCACTAATATTAACCATTGTTAATAGTAATTCCTGGAGATAAATCGTATGGTTAACTGCAGCTTTATTTCTCATAACATACTTGCATAACAGTCTGACAGTCCTTCTAATTACCATAGAATTGTTGGCAGTAATTCAAAATAGTGAATCCAATACTGCTATGAGTGTATGGCATGGGAATATTGTCAGTGGATATTGGAGTTATAAAACAAGATAATTTTAAGAACCTGTACTTTATCACTAATATAGAGAAGTAACTGTGACAAATTTTGCATGCGTTGTTCTGGTGCTGCAGTTTACAATGACATCAAGGGTCCAGAAAGTGTTCTTCTGTCATGATACCTCTCAGGGAATCAATTGGCAGTACATTGGAAATTGGGATTTGAGAATCCTTGTTAACAACAGTCTTTCAGCTCTTGGATTCAAATCTTCCTTCTAAAATCACTTCTCATTAGTGATCTAAAATTACTTCTCATCAGTGATGAAACTTGTTTCTGACTTAGATCAGAGCTGAGCAGCTGAAAGATCTGGTTGGTTATTTTACGCTTTCAAATATTTCCAAAAGAATCTTGTATCTTTTCAGGAGCAACATATCTCCATGATTTCCACTGTACTTTTCAGAATTCTGCTGTGTCAAAAGCTGTAGATTTAAAGAACTGCTACTATAGTTCAAGTTACACTTGCCAACACAACTGTAGCAGATCACCATCTCTGAGAAAGAGAAAAGGAAGCACCAAGACAGCTGCCTCCCTGCCAAACCAAGTCCTCCCTTATAGATGATGATACTTTGGAAAATTACTTCCCGTGCAATGCAGACATCCTTATGTCAACTCTTAATTTTTCAGAAAAATCTTAACATATTTCATTATTAGTAGAGCTCTCTGTAGCAAGGGATGTGGTGGGATTTACCTCCTACATCCCAGCATTATAGATGTTTTCTGGTTTCCAGTGTTGTCCACTGAACGTATGTGCTTAGTGTGCATACTTACATGGAAGAATATCTTGATATCTGTTTTTATCCCTGTTCTCTTGTGCTTTGCCAGTTCTGCAGTCTTCTGTTGGTTTCACATGTTCTAAAGCCTATATCAAAGAGAAATAGTCAATCCATGTTCATATCCTTTATGAAAAACTACAGAGTCAGCATAAGCAAACATTACTGTTGTTTGTGACCCAAGACTGCTAAGCAGACTTCTTAAAGAAGAGAATCAGGACACTGTTCCCTAAACTGCTACACAAGGAATTCAAATTGCCTAGGGTTTTCTTCGGTCTATACAAAATTTCTGGAGCTTTTAATGAGATTTCCAACCCACATCTTTAGCCCCTGTAATTACACATCCCTATTATATAGTGCTGTAAAATGAATGTTTGGAATAGTGCCTTGGCCAAAAATCAGCATTCATAATTGATAACATGCAGACTGAAGAAACAGCTATAGCACTGTTACCAGATAATGAATGCCAATGAGTACTTTTCAGTCACAGAGGAAGTGGTGGATACAGGGAACAACATCAGTGGTGTTAAGTGCAAATCATATGGTCCTAAGTATTTCATAGCAAATTTAGGGGAACACAATGCAGTGTAGCCAGGAAGCAAGAAGGTGAAAGTTAATTTCATTCACAGTTTTGAGTTACTTTCACTCTTCTTTTTCCATTTACCTTTTTGCTATGCATTGCACAATGCTCAGCCCTCATGTTATGCCACTATACAGTGTATATGGACTGAAATACATTTGACAGTTAAGATCTTCATCAGTTACTACAGCTTTTAGTCAGGAAACATATCCATTGACTTTGGTAACCAGTGCTTTTCCTGTTAGATCTTTATGTTTTATGAGCAGATGCATGACTCAACTCATAGCGTACTATGCCTACATCTGGAATGGAATGAAGGGAAATTAATGCACGTTCTTGAGCTCTTGGTGAAAGTCAACAAATGCTATACATGTGAACCTATGCTATTTTGTACCCAGAAAGTCAGCCATAAGGCAAGTGAGAGTGATTGATAACACTCTAAATAATATGGAAAAAAAGTTGTAATCTATTTCACTGGTAATGAGTGCATCCTTTGATGAAAATTCTGGCATTGTGTTGAAGAATTATGAAACAATCTTTCTCTGGGAATTTGCTGATAATCCCCAACACTGAGTACTCTCTATGTATACCAAAACAAGAGATTTTATATGCTTTCATAATTTTACATTTTCCATAATTTATTTGCCATCAGATGTAATTGTGTATTTTCATTATTATGTATGTTACTTTCTATTTTAATTGCACGAAGTCCCTGACCTCAATAACATCTTGTGGCAATGAATCCCATGGATCACTGGAGCACTGCGTAAAACATTTTCCTTTCATTGACTAAGTGTTTGAATTTCTTGCTTTAATGCAGCCCCTAGAATAGCTCTTGGGCAGATGTTCAGGAGAGCTGAAGGGGCAATAAGAAGAAGTTAGTCAATATTAAGGTGATTCTTATTGAACTTTTGTGTATTTATTTTCCATTCCATGTGGGCAGGATCTTTGGACAGGAAACAGTGTAAGCCTGACTGTGTAGAAAGAGAGAGATCCAGATAATGTAGCAGCACCCAAAAAGCAAAGCAGACACCTGACTTAATCCTTTGAGAAAGTGGAGTCAGTGAAGATATACAATTGCAGTGAAGATATACAATTGCATCTCCCATAAAGCATGTTGAAGGCTGCTAAAAGTCACTTAGCTCTGCTAAACACTCAGGTCTTAAAAATGAATTACACTTTACCATAAACTCTTTCAACACCTCTTGATTCTCAATCCGTGTCTGAAGGCCTCGAATAAGACCTCTAACACCAGTCCTTGGACATACTCCAGTCAGTGATGGTTTAAAATTAATTAAGTGAATCAGTTCATCTTCAGAAACAAAGGCTCTGCCTATATATCAACAAAAAAAAACAAAGGAGTTTTTAATGATTGTTGTTCATAGCGTAAATCTTGGCTTTAAAAACCGGAGGGCTGCAGTACTTCAGTATATTTTAGCATATTCTGTGTAAATGAAATGTAAAAAAATATATATATATATATATTTTTTTTTTTTTGGCTTACTTACGTGTATGGCAGAAAGAAGAATAAATCAATACCATGGATACAACCAGCAACATGTTTTGTGGAATCTGGAAGCAGATCCAACTATTGCAGCTTTTTGCTTTATATGGTTTCTAAATACAGTCTGTTCTAAATAAACCTTGCTGCAGAATTGTAAACTTCAATATTAACTTATATTGATATAGGAGACTCTGGCCACATCTTCACAGGAAATCATCTTAATGTTTCCAACAGTTTCCTGAAAATTAGTATCGCCATTCCCCTTTGCTATAGATATTTTTTCCTCCCTGAAGTAAGGAAGTATCTTCTGTTCTCTTCATCTTAATTCACACTATCCTTCAAGAACAAGATGTGAAGTATCTTCGATACAACAAAACCAGGATTTGCTTTTACTAATTAACTCATAGAATCATAGAACATCCTGAGTTGGAAGGGACCCTTAAGGATCATCAAGTCCAACTCTTGACACCGCACAGGTCTACCCAAAAGTTCAGACCATGTGACTAAGTGCACAGTCCAATCTCTTCTTAAATTCAGACAGGCTCGGTGCAGTGACCACTTCCCTGGGGAGCCTGTTCCAGTGTGCATCCTGAAGTATATGTTCTAACGCAACACTTGACAGATTAAGAAGATGGATAAACATTTAAGTCTCCAGAAATACCCCTGTTCTACTAGGGCAATCGAAAGAGGAGGTGTACTTCTTCAGCAACTTGTTACTTCCATAGGAAAAAAAAAAAAAATAGTAGCTTCTTTTGTAGAAAATAGTGGTTCAAGGCAGAGGAATTAAGGAATTAGTCCTTACAGCCTTAAGTGAGTGTTGTCAAAGAAAAGCATGCCAATTGTTGCAAAGAAAACCTGATGTGTTCCACAGCTGTGCTGTAGGCTAAAGACAAAGAGCAGTGTTCTTTTTTTTTTTCTTGTAGGATATCATTGCTACCTTTAACTAACCTTCATTGTAAAAGTGTTGTGCTTGCTGTCCTTGTGTCTTGGGTTACAACTGGCAGCCACCTTGCCTGAGCTTCTAAGACACTTTGTTCAGTTCCTGTTCTCTGCCCCTCACAGATGCAAGGGTGTTTCTGTTAAAAAGTCAGCTGAGAGTGCCAGTGAGGACAAATCCCCCACTCTAGAGAGAGCTATTTCCTATACACATCTCTTCTTTTGCTATTTGTTCGTCACAGTTAGACTTATGGGTCATTGCAGTCCTGGCAGGAGGAAATCACCAGCTTTTAAACATCCATGGTTTTGCAGTTAGAGTCTGTAGCATACAATGCTACAATATCCAACATACAATATCCAGTAGCATACAATGTGAACAAATGTCATGATGTTGCTCAAATTAATTCAATAGCTTTCTTTTCTTTCCTCTTACTTCCTCACTTTGTGCGCCTAATCAAGTATGATTAACGTACTGAGATATTTTCCTTTGGGGGAGGAACACTATGTATAACATTACAGAAGAGAAAAACAAGCATAAAGTTGCCCATCCTTTGGAAACTAGAGCTCCAAAGCAGAGGTGCTTGAAGTAGTGGCAAGTGGATAGTGGCCAGTAAGGCTGCCCTTCCTGCATTCAGTTAACTATACTCATCCTCCTGTTCTTGCCTCCCACAGTTCTCCAAACAAGTTGGAGAGCTCCTATGTAGGCTGCTTTCTTGTGGATGTTACAAAGGTTTGATGGCCTTCATACGTATCAGAGGTTAGAATCATGTCCTGAGTGGTCAGGCTTTTGAGAAACAAATAGGAAAGTCTTAACTTATACATAAGGGATTAGTGTTGATTCCACTGTGGATATATGGAAGAGCTGGCTTATTACATTAATGATACAAGAGAATTTTTTGCATGGTTACTTCTAGGTAGGATGGAAATCCTGTGAGGCATATCATCGTCTTCATTGTTCCAGCTGTCTGACTCAGACTGCTGACTCTGTCTTCTGCAACCTTCACATCCTGCACATTTCTGTGATCTGTAAAACAGCATTAGTTGAATGGTTTTATGGAAGTGGCAGAAGCTGTGTACAAAGGTTTTGTTTTTAATCTATTTTCAGTTGAATTTGAACTTTCTTGAACAACTGTTTTCAAGAATTACTATGAACTCTGAAGAGCCTAAGTTCAAGGAGTATTAAACTTATATAAATACTCTTGTATTTTGCCTGGAGCACTATTATCTGCATTTTTTCTGAGAGATGAGCAAATAACTTGTATAAAAAAACTACCAGAAAACATCCTTGAGAGTAAAGTTTCTCAGTTATAGACAGTTTTCATGTATGACCTAGATTTTTAGTTATTAGGTAGGCCTATTTATTTAAGGTATTCAGAGAATTTTAGAGCACTTCAATTTTTTTTTAGGTAGGTGATACGCCTACAGTTCAGAGTACATCAATGCTGCATGCAGAATAGATTAAATATCCCTATAGTGGCTAACTCCAGTACTCTGCAGACCTAATATTAAACTATTTCAATAGGCTTAAGCTTACCATAGTTTTATATAGGATAGGATTGTGTATGATCATAATACATGGTATAAGAAATAGTAAAAGGTACTATTAAATTATGATCTTACTCTCCATCTTAAGTAACAGCCTTGCAAATATCAGTAATCATTGAGGGCTGTGCATGTTCAAGTTACATAAGGGTTTTGCAAGTAGAATATATGACTACCAGAAAGTGCAGGTAATAAAGAGATTCAGAACACAGAATGAGGTACAGAAAGTTTGTTTATTTGCAAGACAACCAGAAAAGCTACCATTTATTCTTATGTATGATAACTTTGCGTTAGCCATAGATGCACTAAGCATCTTGCACATAGAACAAGGTAATTCAATAGCAATCACACCTGATTACCTGATATACCACAAGATAATGTTATATTAGTGATGAGATAATAGCAAGTGGCACTGAGCCTATATTCACATGGATATTTTCACTTCACATGCTCTCGAAGGTTCTTTCAGTTTTGTTCTCTGTAAGCAGGTAATTTAAGGAAGATTGTTGCCCCTTAAAGATTGGTCAACTACTCTTCTTAGAAAATTTTAGGTTTCAAATATAAGTGTTCATTCCTTTTCCTATTTATATGGGCTATAAATGATAAAGACAATCATGTTTCATATATTCTGTATCATTGTAGTAAATGAAATTGTCCATGTCTTATCAATGCTACATTATTCTTTGATCTCCCATTCTACTATACAGTTGGAGTAAAATTCTTCTCTTCTTGTACTCTGTATCCACATACTTCCTTAGGAGTAATACCCTCAAGTTCTCATGATTCCCAAATGTCTGGAGTTCAATATCTGCATCACTACAGCCATCCTAGCACAGAGTCTGCACCAGGCTTCAGGACCTGCTGGGAAAACTCAGTAAACCCCATGGGAAGCCTGCCCACATCAACACAGTCGTACTTCCCTGTACTCACCTCCTCCTACCAAAGGCACATCTGCATGAGCTTCAGGTACACCTAGAAGCTTCTATTTTATTCCTCCAAGTAGCTGTGTGAAAGCTGTTTAGCCACTCTTACTGCAGATGGAGCTGCGTTTCTGTATTCGTATTTTTTGGAACATGAGTATATTTGTATAGCATACCCAGACAGCTTTGGAAATAGAAGAGTAAGCTATCCATGATTTTTATTTTAGTAATGTTACTTTGTTTGAAAGACTTACCTGTCTGAAGTGTTACTGATGATATCCTGATAGTCTTGTCCATCCAATTGTCGTTGCAGAGGGAAACTGTGCATGCTTTCTGGACCCTGTAGATATAAAATTAGGTATAGGTGTAAAAAAAATCAATACATAGAAACATCAAGAATGTAGTCAGTGATTTTCATCAACATTTCTTCACAGATTTGACAAAAATGTCTCCGTTACTCAAGAAGGAAAGTAAAGTAGTTTCCACTTCTTAGGGGAAAAAAAAAAAGTCTATACAACTTTGACTTAGCATTACAGTATCTACTTAGAATAAAAAGCCGTATCAGCTTTTTATATTTTTGAGCTTCATAATAGTGCTGTCTTCAGACACCTCTACAACCTAGCATGCACAGCTAAATGTTGAAAAGGTTTGTGTTAATTATATCCTCTCTGATCTCGTAAAGAAAGCATGATCACAGGAGTTATGAGTCACACTCTGCTCCTCACCTCCTAGCTCTTGGCAGCAGAAAGCACCAGTGTTTGAGTTAGAATGGCTGGTAATAATTTCCCTTTTTATCTCAGACACAACGAGGCCAGCTGTTAGGAGCAGGGTGCAGCTGCTCTACAGAAGAAGCACTCAACTGAGAAGGCAGACCCTTGATTGCCCTCCAGATGGAGTAGAAGCAATAGTACTGGTGGCTGTTTTTCAGTCCTAGAGAATGACAACTGGGTCCTGCATTTAGATAATGATGCAGAACATCTGTCTTTGGTATGTGGAAGTGGCTCTTTCTCAGCTGTAACACTCGACAGATAATTATTTAAATTTTAATTCACAGGGGTGCTTCCTCATCTTCTTTCCCTGATTAGTATTCCAGATGCACTCAGAAACCACCCTAGCATATTACGTAGTATAGACTGCTGAGTACCCCACAGAATCTTGACAGTATCTGCCATTTTTTTTTTTATTTATTTAATTTTTTGCTTTTATGCTTGTATTTTTCCATTAGAATATGGGAATTCATGGCTGCACACTTAACCAGGAATTCATTTACCCAGTTTCTGCATCTACCAAATACCCTGACTAGAAAACACAATATGGATTTCAGTTTTCTTTTTTTGCCAAGGAAAAGTATTTTACTGCTGCTGTTTTTTTTTTTTTTTTTTTTTTTTTGTTTGTTTGTTTGTTTGTTTTTTTCATTTTTTTTCCAGTAGCTTGTCATTTTCTAAGCTAAATCTTTGGAGTAGATGGCAGCTGTGCTCTAAAAAGTAAAGCATAGATTATTTCTATTCACAGGAGACAGCTAAAGACAAGCTGGAAATACTGAAGAATGGAGCCAGAATGGAGCCAACTCAGCAAAAAAAGTTTAGCATATGCTTAAAGTTAGGCATGCGCTGTCCTGAGATAGATATTAACTATGTACTTTGATTATATTGGCTGAGGCAAGATTTGGATGCTTGTTGTTTGTTTATTTGTTTTCCTCTGGAGAAAAAAAAAAAAAAAAAAAAAAAAAAAGTATTTATCATATTTCCTGAGGGGAGTTTTTACAGTTGCAAAACTTAAAAGTAATAGATGCTCTAAAATTTGAAATAGATTGTTTTGCAGGACTTACTAATATTCAAAAGCAAGACCATGTTTGAAGAAGTTTAGGGCCTTGGGCTTACAAATATTAATCAAAATACAGTTGAATAACAATCTTTCAATTTATATTTATTTTAAAATACTGAAAAAAGTGAAATTAATAAACCATGTATTCCAATATTATGAAGTATCAGAATAAGACTTGCTTATGCAACTTTCCTTTACCACCTCTCCAAGGTGTAGTTCTTGCCTGTACCGCACCAAACCCATTTTGTCAACAAACGTATGAGTACATTGTCCAGTAACTTCTAAAAGCCGGATTCAGATTTTACCTTGCTGCACATCTGGCTGGATTCTTCTTCCTTGAAAGTGAAAACAGGCTGTGCTCCTAGGCTTCTCTCAGAACTGTTGTCATCTAAATACAGAAAACAAAATTAAGGTAAAATGTCTGTGAATTGTGAAAATATGGATCAATTTCTTCAGTGCCATCTATACCAGAGTACTTTTGGTCTTGAAATAGACACTGAGATACAGTGCCAGAAACTGGCACAAAATATCCAGGGGCAAAACAGCACAAATGCCATATATCACTGCCAAAGGAGCCAGCATAATTCATATAGCCAGAAGACGCACTGTAGTAGACCTCTGTATCAGTAGAAGTTACAAAGAACCCTGTAAAAGAGTCAAACCTAGTCCATTCCTTTGCAGTGCTAAGGGACATACATGTATGCCGTAGATGTGCTATGTTGCCAATGCTTCTATAGTACTGTTGGGTTTTACTGGTCCAGGAAAAGAGTTTAAACTTCACAGCAACTGTGTAATTTACAAATATCATGTGAGACCCAAATAAGCATCTCCATGGCTAGTTCCTTGAAGTTGCACAGCCAGAGAAAAGCTTAGTCCTAGTGAAAAGAATGGTAATGCTTCTACAGCCTTTAACAGAGTTAGAGCTTTAATTAACCTTTTTATACCTTCATGTCCTTCCTAATTTTGGATCATTTACCCCCAAAATTAAACTAGAGCTGAGATGGGACAGTGAACATCATGCTTCCAGACCTGTGCTGAGCACAGTTCTGTCATCCTTATGGAAAGATGCTTTAAAGCACTAGTGGTATAATACAGGTTGATTGTTGAATTCTGAAGTGCTGTGAAAGAAAAAGGAAATTTTAAATAATCCACTCTCTTTATTTACTTTAGTTTCGTCAAGGTCAGCCTCTTCTGACAGTCCCACTGTGGCTGTCCCAGAGTCCTCAGCTGCTAAGGACTCACAGCTCCTTCTCCCCAGCACTGCCTGATGATCTACCTGGCACCCCTTCCCACCCTTGTTGGTACAACTCTTTTGGAACGTTTTGCTTTTGAATCACATAGAGTATCTTCCAGTAAGTGAATGACTGTCCAGTGCTAACAGCACAGGCTAGAAGTTGAAGAGCACTAGGTCCATTCTTGTAGTCAGATACTGAAATTCAAGAATCAAGATCCTTGAACCATAGAGGCACCTGCTCCCTGAGAGCAGAGTTGCCTAAGATACCCGTGGAGATATTTTATGCATCTTGTAAAGTTGCATAAACTTGTCAACCAGTAAAGTTGACAAGATGCATAAAGGTTTGCTGTGAAACATGTCCAAAATCCAGAATCTACTGTATATCTCTCCTTAGTCTGCCTGGGAGAAAGCTGATATCAATCTCCTTCTTACATGGGAAGATTCGGAACAAGCCTTCAATTTCTAACTACCAGGCTAGAAGGTATTTTAAGGCGGAATTCTTTATTCATTGCCCATTGCAGCTTCTCCACGTTGTAGGAAACATTTCGGTATTCAAAGAAATGACAGATGAGGAATAGAAACCCATAATCTATTGGTAATAGTATACCCTTGCTTCCACTCCCGGCTGTAATTAGTATTTAAATTCTGTGTATTCAGCAGAGCAGAGCCTGCAACAGAGGTTTCTTCCATTAGAGTTAATCAGCTCCCTAAGTACTGCTGCATGCAGGCGTGCGAGTGCTCAAACTAACAGCAATCAGCCCAGGAGCAGAGGTTTCTGGATTTGAACATGAGCAAGTACAGAAGGAAGATGAGTTGCCTGCTAGACAGAATGAAATGCTTCTGAGAGATGAGGTAGGACTGCTAGGATGTGAAATTTGTGGGAAATAAATTTAAGCAGCTGGGTCACTAATTGGCTCCTGTTCTCTCTGTGACTTGTATAAAGCTGGCTAAAATCAGCACATACCAGGAACCATCATGACTTAAAAGCAAGCATAAGCTGAGTTAAAATATCTCTGAGGGTCTTGGGCATTCCTTCCCTGTGGTCCTGTGTCTTGGATAGCCTAGCCAGAGCTGCAAATCAGGGCAAAGAACTCGTTTGTGTCTATAGCTACGAATGAGGATTAATTGTAACATTAATAATATAAAATTGTTTACCTAATGGGAAAATTGAGTCTAGGCACCACATAATCCCACTGTTAACATGTACTGAGTGGATGAAGCTACTTACTGGGCTCTGCTTTTATGTTTGGAGGGGAAGGTACGTTATTGCTCTGGTTGCCTGAAGAAGCTGCACGTGAAGCCACGCTTCGGCAAACTGTGAGTTGAACAGTTCCTCGAGCCTTGCGCAGCAAATCTATAACGGTTTGGCGTGGTAAACCAGACACTAAAGTGTCATTCACCTAAAAAATACAATGATAAAACAAGATTCCTGTAACAGAAAGCTTTTTAAACACATAATCCAGCATTGTGCATGCTTTATGTATCTTCCCTGCATCTCACGTCTCCTCTCGCCCTCCTATTTTAGTGACTTGCTTGATCTTCCCCTCTCTGCTTCTTTATAGCATGACTGCTAGCAGCACATCCCAGAAATGTAGTCTGCCTCTCTTTCAGGGCACTGAGAGGGCCTCACTTCTCCTACTCCTCACATGGAAGCGGGAGAAGGAAGGTAGTGAAAAACAGAATAGCAAAAAAATGTAAAAACTTGAAACTCTTGGAGAGGGGAGAAAAGTGGATTTCAAGTTAACAACAGCAACAATAAAAGATTGGTAGCTAAGAGGTAGTTAGGACAGTAGGAATTTACAAGTTCAAAAGCACTAATTCCAGTGCTTTCTGCTTGTCTTGATACTGGCAGCAATGCCAGGATTCTCCCCATCTCCTGGCTAGCTGTTAGGGGCACGCTTGGTCAGCTTACTCTTGTTTTCTGGCCTCTTCATGTGCAGTCCCTACTGGGCCCAGCAGCCCTTTTCTCACTGTAGAGGGGCCGAGGCCCACACCAGCTGAACTAGTGGCGAGGGTGGGGGGCCCAGAGCAGCCTTCTGACCACCAGGAGTCCAGCGACACCACCTTCCACCTCTTGCTGTGCCAGGCAACCTCAGGTTTCTAGTCTAAGCAATTTTTATACTGAAGAGGGTGCTCTTTATAGAGTAACTTGAGGAAAAAAAATAAGATGCCCAAAATGATGAAGAACAAGTCTTACCTTAAGTAAGATGTCACCAACTCGAAGCCTCCCATCCAGATCTGCAATGCTGTCTGGGCTGATGGCTTTTATTAGGATAGCCCTGCCATTTCTGCCGCCTACTAGTGCAAATCCTAGGCTTCCATTTTCTGCTTTTTCCAATTCAATCTTAATAATGAAGTCCTAGAATACAAAAGAACACAGTTGGAGTTTATTCAGTATTCTGTTTTATTTGCGTTTTTAATGTGAAGTAATTCTATTGTGCTTTACAGTCCGCACTGGCGGATGTAAATTGTGGGATGTCTCCTTCCCTTGAATGGGTGTAAGGAGCTTCCAGTGATTAACATGGCAGCTACATGTATGTATCAAAATGAAAATAGTATGTACTTATTTGCACAAGTATTTTTAATAATAGCTGGAGAGTACAAGAGCAAGGTGACGTGTACTTCATGTGTGTAATCCTTCTATAATATATATAGTATGTTGCCCTCACTGACAGACCAGTCTCTTTTATCTCCAGCATGACAGTAACTCAGTATGTACTCCATTCCTTTATTGTTCCATAATTAAAATCTTAACCTTGCAGACCCAACATACCTGTCTGTTTGGCTCTAGCACTTCATTCACATTTACAATCAGCTGCCTTTTTAGGGTCAAGCATTATGTCAGAAAGAGCAGCAACCTAGAAATGTTTATGACTCGCAGCACGACTGGTTCAGATGGTGCACTTATCAACCTCAGAAATTATTCTAGTGAGTTGAACAGACAAAGTATCATGGATTAAATGGTGTGGAAGAAGCAGTAATAGTGAGGACTTAATCAAAAGCAAGAAAGTTGTTCTGATTTTTCTGCCAGGTTGGAGGTCTAATTTGAACAAGAAACAGCCCTTTCTTATAAACCACAGCCAAGAGAAAATGAGTAAATCTATGAAATACCAGTCCCAAAGTGGGCAATTTCAATTCCAAGTAATATTATTTTCCACATTACACAAACATAAGCAATGTTTGTACTTCTAAGTCTTTTGAAGTATTGTATGCTTTGCATGGAAATTCATCCTCCTCCTGCTCCTGTGTAGTTTAGGGATTTATCATTTCAGAAATACCACTACTCTTACTAGTTGTAAATTCAAACCAGTCTGGTTTATGTCAATAGTGCATAATACTCTAAAGGTTTGAGGTAATTTTATTCTCTTTTCAAGTTTAGAATTTCAGACTGAAACATTAATCTCAAGTTTCAAGGATTGTTTTGACGTTGTTGTGGAAAACACTTCCTGATTACAATTACACTTGTTTTGCCCAGAATCCTATGCTGTGGCATCTCTCCTTCCTGTGGTACTTTCTTTCTAAGTTAGGGATTAATCTTGTAAACTAGTAAGAGTAGTAAGACCTAATGGAGGGGCTACATCATACGAGTTTTGCTTCTGTTGCCAAGCTGTTAAAGTAGTGATGTTATACTCTGGAAAAACAGCAAGAGAAGGGTCTGACCCCAGGAAGTGCTGAGCGCACACCGGTCAATGCGTGCTGAGGCAATTCACCACTTCACAGTACATTCTCCAAATGCAGTCTGTTCGCTTTTTCAAAGAAACCAGAGATGAAGTAAATACATTAAATACCACTATTGAAAAAAAAAAAAAAACAAAAAACAAAAAACAACTCAATATAGCTCACTTTACTTGATGGACCGCCTTGCACTTGATAAAATTGTCACTTGCCTGGCATTCTGGGGGGTCAGGAGTGCTTTGCTGAGTACCACAGTTTGTTTCTTTCAGATGTTCCTCTGTGAAAAACCAGCAACAGTTTTTACTAGTGAAATGTTCTGTAGTATAGCACTCAAAATCATAATAGTTAGAGACCTAATAAAGCATTTCCTATTAGATGTGTGAAATAAAAATGTTCCTGTGGGCTTATTCGTGTTACTTGGTCTGTTATGCTCCTGAAGTGAGCCTTCTGCTTGTCATCCCTGTAGACCTTTGGCCTCCCAGAGAGTAGTTTCCAAAACAAGCTTTAAAAGCTGCACATTACAGGGTCAGAGACATCAGCTGGACAACAGGCAATGGATACACATTTGCTGATACTCCGAAGGTTGCAGTTGTGTTTACTAAGAATTAATCATTCCCAGGTACTTCCAATACCATCTACCAATTTCTTTTTCTTTTTTTTTTTTTTTTTTTTGTTGTTGTTGTTGTTTTTTTTAAGAGAGGACTAAAAATTTTACAAACCCTCACTGAAAAATCAAGTTACTTACCATGTTGATGTGGTAGTTGCTGTTCTTGGGAGTTCAGGTTTTCATTTGAGAGAGAAATATTGGCTTTTTCTGTCTCAGCAGGTGGCCCTAAAAACATACATGTAGGTTTGTTCTGACAGACCTCCCGCTCAGCTTCATATATCCAAGGGAATGTAAACTCTGCTTAGTTTATGAAACAAAGCATCAATATCCAGTATTGATGTTGTATGAGGCAGCATGAGACAGTTATTATTGCATGATTAAGTTTGCCAAGTTGTGCAGTGATGTAAATAATTCTTTCATGAACTGCAGGAATATTACATCTCATTTATTGCTATATTTAAAATTAACAAGAACTGGAGATCCGAATGAGTCATTCCAGACCTGTGGCAGTGATCAGGCAGAGGAAGAACTAGGGTGTCTTAGTGTCCACAGAGCTCGCAGTGTAAGAAGCCAGTGTGCGTTTCTTGAGTTCCACCCTGCCTTCACCCCCTCTGAGTTTCACTTCATCGTATATTGGTAATCTTACTTATCTTCCACAAAGTACTCTTAAGGTATGAATTATAGAAAATTCTTGTTCTGTTGTTAGTTGTTGTTTTATATATTAAAAAATGTTCCCTGTTGCATTTGCAATTTTAATATGTATTTTTGTAACTAAGAGAATATATACAATGAAGGCTTACTTCCTTGTTAGCAAACTATTACAGATTTATAGATTAAATCTATTAGAGATACAACAAATTATTATAGATTCCTTTAAAAAAGCCCTTACAAAAGGGAAGAACCTCTTTTTTTTTTTTTCTTTTTTTTTTTTTTTTTTTAAGACTCAGAGAACTGTACCACTGTACAATAAAAAGGTCTGCATGAGAGAGGGATCATAGCTGGTAACCTATTTCTGAAAGTGTCTTGAGAAATCCCATGGAGCCTACAAAGCTTACTGAGCACAGATGTGTAGCTAAGGTCCTACCAGGATGTGTGTTTACCTTACTTTAGTTGTACTGCAGAAACTGAGAGTACACTTAGCTTTACCCATCTCTTGCAGTAAATTCAAAGAAGCCTATTCTTTAGTAAGTAAAATAAGCTACTTCAGGTTGTAAAAACATACACATGGTAGTTGCCTTAGAGTAAAAAATCTGTAGCTAGCTTGCCTTGGAACGGACACAACATAGGCACGGTAGCTGTCCCTGACTGTGCCGCTGCAGCCTCTGCTTGCTGAGATTCCTTCTGCTGCTAGAGCAGTTCTGGTCAAGCCTCTGTAGTGTGGATGGTCACTGAAGTAGTGTGTCAGTTATGGTAATAAACATAGTCCCCTGATAGGAATGCTCCTCTATTAAAGGAGCATTTATTATTATAGATACTGGTTTAAAAAGTTGGTCTAAGAAAATTAAGTCATGGCATCATATTAAAGAGTAGCTCAAAACCACATGGAGAATAGTTTTCATCAAAACAGATGTTGAAATATGAACATAAAATTCCCACTAAACAACAAACAATAAAACTAACAACAAATTTAAAAAATAGAAACTGACTATGCAAATATGGATGAAAATAGAATATTTTTTACAGAGAACTGTGTTTTATTTCTGTCTGTAAAGAGCTGTCAGTTTTTCTTCAGACCCTTAGTATGTTAACAAAAATGCTGAAAGCCAAGTTACAATCTATTAATAAATGTTTAATACAATGAGTCAATACCTTATGTTTATTTCCAAAATCGGAAGCAAATGTTAAATTCAACCCCCCAAATATTAGCCTTACTTACTATTTTCTTGGTCTATAGGAACCACTGGATTGCCATTTCTGGAGGCAGAAAAAGTGAAATATGTGAGCCATTAAGAGCTGCATGCTTTATAAAAGCACATATGAAAACTGTTTCTGAAAAAGTCAGTTGTCTAAATTACAGTTCTATGATTTGTTATTCTTAATGGTGTTTTCCTAAAGAGCATTTATATCAATATATGAAATATTAGACAGCCTTTAACAACAACAAAACATTTTAATTAAATGGGTTTAGAAAAGAAAGAACACGTTACACCATCTGTCCCAGTACAAAACTGCTTTGTGGCATATTTTGAATCAGCTTCAGTTCTCCTCTATGAAGTGGGAGTGATCACTTGTAATTTCCTTTCCCCTTTTTCTGTTTATTTCCTTAGACTGCAGATTCTTAAGATCAGTGTGTGTTGCCTACTAGCTGCTTATACAGCAATAAATATAATGTGGCTGGAGTTTCTTCACCTGCTTGCACAGAGCCAGTTAATAAAACACTGATAAATGTTTGAACTACTTTAAGATTGCTGTGACAGACACTAAAGCTGAATCTAGTTATCTAACTTAGTAACCCCAAAATATGTGAATGACTATTTGACTGTAAGATCTTTAGAGGCTATTTCTGTATCCTATGCCTCTGTCAGACTGCAGAATGCAAAGCATCTAAAACGCAGTCAAGACCCATTGAGGGAAATTCTTTACTGCAGGTTATTCATCAACCCTGGGATGATTTTTTTTTTACATGCTGCAGACTAAACACTGTATTTTTAATACCTTTCTAAAATGTTTGGCTGTGGGAAATAAATCAGAGTTTCCCATCAGAAGTAGTTAAAGGATTCACACTGGTGTTTGGATGATGAAGTCTGAAGAGTTACAATTCGTGTTGTGTGAGTTTACCTATGCTCATATCATTCTATGTTAGCTATAATTAGAAGGAGTTAAGATATCTTACTGATGTTGTACATCAGATTACACCTTCAGACCTCTGAGCTACATCATTCTTCCTGTTGTTTGTCTTGGTTTCATTGTTTGACTTGTTGATATAAAATTTAGAAACCTGCTATAACATTAGGACTGAGTACGTTCAGATTTCACATGTTGGCTCAGATTTACCTTGTTGCTTTGATTTGGACATTCTGGGTGGCAGCTTCACACACTCTCACTGCATCATCCAGGCTGATGCCCTCAGTCCACAGCCCACAGATGTACAGAATCTGATCTCGTGGCTGCAAACTGCCTTCCACACTGGCAGGGGAGCCAGGCACTATCTCTAGCACATAAATACCTTGTAACTTGCTTCCAGCTCCTCCTGTCAGCTTCAAGCCTAGAACAATGCAGACAAAACATCTTTTGTGACAGCATGTTTTCAATTTCACTGTCAGTGAGGTGAAGCCTGATGGAATAGATGTGGTATTGAAAAATAGGCTGAACAAAGCACCAACATTATAAACAACCATCTTGCCCCAGTGAGAGAGGGAGAATAAAATGCAATTTGGTGTTTAAAATAAATAAATAAATAAATAAATAAATAAATTGAAAAAATGAAATGGTATTGTCCATCTGTACACTTCAGCTATTCCATAGTGCTTTATTTCACCTGATGTTGAATAACCATTTGAATAAGACTGTGTGGCATAGCAGTAACTCCGTCATTACCAGTCTGTATAACTGCCTTGCAATCTTTAGAGTGATGGAGGGTGTGATATCAATCCACTTTTTCAGACAGGGAATGGAGACACAGGACAACTGAGGAGATACCTATGTGGTACAGAACAGTGTTGCACAATGATACTCAAGTAATTTCCAAACAAGCTAGTTTCTGAACTGGGAACAGGATGTTGTACCTGAGCAAATATAGCTATACTATTTCCTGGGTCTACCCAGCAATAGATATTTATCATTACTGCATTACTACAAACAGCTTCTAGTGTTTCTCTGTGTATCAATAACATAAAAATATGTGACTGAAGATCTGGCAGAAACTTCAGCTGATAGGGTGATAACACAAAGATATTTCTTTCAACAGCTTAATTGGTCTAATAAGAGATATTTATCTTCCTTTTAAGGCCTTGCCCAAAATAAAGTTTGCCCTCCTACAGTCGTGTTGATGGAGGAGAGCATAAAGGTGTCAAGGTCACTCAGGATCAAACTGATCCAATACCACCGTTGCATATGATTATCATACCACTGCTGTAATCCCTGTCTAAAATAGCATTCGTAGTATTTACTACACACCTAGCTGTCCGTTGGCACCTTTTGTGAGAGTAATTTCAGGAATGTCATCTGGCCTAACAGCAGGACATGGATCGCTGCCAGCACGGCCAACCACAAGGTGCAGATCAGGAGGAGAGTTGTGCAGTAAAGTCAGGGCTTCGTTGCATGGTAAAGATGTGACATCGATTCCATTCACCTAAATGACAAACCATTATAGTGATGTCAAAGATCTCGTTGACCATCATTACACTTCTCCCTCCACCCCAAATATTGCATATGAACTTAAATTAGTGTTCACTCTCATATTATCGCTTTGCTGTGGCACTTAATGCCTGTGAATGTAACAGTTACAATTGCAGTAAGATTTTTTCAAACTTTTGTTTTTCTGAATGTACAGTTTTCATAAAAATAGCTTCTTTTTCTTGAAACTTGAGGCCTTGTAGCAAAAAGCAAGGAAGACAAGTTCAATGAAACAAATTAAAGATGAACCTTAAAACACGTTTTGTTCAAACACTACAAAGGACATAATTCCTGTATCCTGTATCCACCTTTCTTACTACATTAATGCAGTTTATATCACTTAGGAAGCCATTTAGTGTCTCAGTTGTATTGCATTACTGCTAGATGATTGTTTTTTTTTGCCTGGTCATACAATGTATTCAGTCTGAAGTTTATTCTACCGGAGTCAGCAGAATTATATTTATTATATGATTCATTTGCACTTGCATACATAAATACATGATTAGCTACACCCTACCAAATGAGAAATGCTGAAGTTAAATGACATTGATCTGAAAATACTTTATCCTCTGTTTAAATTCAAAGGATTACTGTACCATAATGAGTCTGTCTCCCCTTCTCAGCCTTCCATCAGACAGGGCAGGCTCATGCAAGATTTCATCAACATACAGACAGTTGTCCACTTTGTTAAGAACCACTGAGAATCCATAACCATTGTTCTCTGACCTTGTCAAAGTCACAAAGACCTCCATTTCCTATTAAAATAAGCATGAGATATATTTGATGCAGGCTTTTTAGTTGCTTCATTAACATCTTGCATTTATGTTTTATATGCAAATAGGAATCAGATGCTCAGGTGATATAAATAATCAGCATACATAAAGATTTCTCTGATCATTGCAGTGTTCCAGAATTAATTTTACTTCTTTATATCTATCTGGTGGAGCTTCATGGTCACTGATTGAAAGGGCCCAATAAGGCAGAGAAGGCCATCCGGGACTGGATTCTGGGCATTTAAAATGTATAAAGAAAGGCACGGAGGCCTCTGAACTGACAAGCAGTACAATAGTAGGGTTCAGAGGCTGCTGCTGTTATTGCTATTGCTTTCCCACTGAAGGAAATGGCTGGACCTAAATTTTGTCCTCACTGCTCTCAAATTAGTAGGAATTCAGAGCTCATTAGTGTCAGCAGGAATGCAAGATGTTCAGCTTTTAGCAGAGCCCTGTATTTTGAATAGTAATTAGTACAGGGATCATAGTTTCTTATCAGGACATTACAGTACTAGCATTGTAACAAAGTGATTTTGCTCATGGGTTTAAAACACAACAAAAAATATGAAGTAGCTGATTCCGATTAATTTATATGTTACAAGAGAACAGAATGGGTCTTAGGCCTTCGTATCCTGGGAATAATACTGCACAGTGGTGGTCAGTTAAAGAAACAGTAATATGGCAAGGGGAAGGAAATAGCCTTTAAGGAAATGGTAGAGAGTTGGGCATACAGGGAGATCTGCTTTATTTGAAGATTTTGGACATTGGAGGAAAGTGAATAAAGCCATGTAGAAATAGCGTAGGTAATGTGTTAAAAATAATGTGTTAAAAATAAAGCTTTTATGAATGGTAAATTGTTAAAGCTGTCCTTTCCCTAGCCATGGTCTGCCTGTTAATACTCCAGTGCCTATCCCATACCCTAGTGCAATCCTCCTTTTTGTCCTTCTCTTCCTCTGGTTCCTCCACGTCTTCCCATTCATTGTCACTGCCATGTGTATCTCTAGCAGGCAGGGATGAGGAGAAAGGGCCACAAACGCGTGGTTGTGGTGTCACCAAGGCTGCGGAGAGTGTCTCAGAGCTTCCTCCACGTGAAAGTGAGGTCACAGATGTTGAGCTGATGGCAAGATGCTCTTCATCAATAGGGGTTAGAGAGAGAATTTCAGGCATACAGTTTCTGTTCGACAGGTCATCATCACCCTTATTAAATACAGGGCTGGAAAATAAAAAAGATTGCAGTGCTGGGATTTTCCTCCATATACTTCATTAGTTGGCCACTGAAATGTCTACTGCTTATACTCTGCCCTATATTAATTTTAACTGTTGTATTTGTTATAGTATTAAATTGCTGTCTAGGTCCTCCTAGTATTAATATAAAGAGGAAGTAATCAATCTTTTTATGAAGCTAATTAAAAGATTAAGTATCAGAATGCCTGCAAAATCTTACACACATTCTTTTCTAAAGCATTAGTTAGTACTTTTGTTGTTTCTTGAAAAGAATGGTTGGACACTTCCTAGACCATTAAGTCTTTCATCTGCCATAAACAATTTAATTAATTTAGCTAGTAAGTGGTGTGCACGTTGCAAGGCTATTACAGTTTTCATATGTGCATATTTCCTTCTTGAAAAGTAACTGTCAGCCACATTCATGGCTGCTGCAGTTCTTTCCTTGGTAATTGGAGCCCAGATCCTGAGCATGAAACATAAATGATTCCTCTCTTCCTAAAAATAGAAGTCCTGAGTTCTCTTTTGAAGTTTACGTTTATTCTTATGGTGCACGTCTTGCATGAAATGACAGAATATCCTCAGTGCTAAGTTCTTGTTTCAAAAGTTGACTATAGTCAGAAGGAAAGTATAAAGCAGTAGTGAAAGATGCTTTTTGGATGGATACAGCTAATCACCTGCAATGGCATTTTTGAAATGTTGGCTGAAATAAGGAAGACCTGCAGGCTCGTGCTCTATGCACTTAGTCAAGGAAGCGATCTAGCGTGTTAGCTTATATATCTATAGGGAGGAAATGAGGAGTTGGACATCTCCAGTAGCCTAGCAAAGCTGAGAATGAAGCTGGCAGTCTGTGTGCTTTAATAGCTGAAAAACAGGTGCTACAATACTGTGAAAGAAGATAGGGATAATTAGAATAAATATTTAAGGATAACAACAAATGCAGTCTGGTCCTTTCTTTAGGTTAAAGGAATAAACGATTAAGTTCAATGGACCTTGCTCAGTGAGAGTGTCACAGAAACTGTCCCATGCCAGTGAAGTGCTGATTGACCTTCATGGGTACAAAAGGTGTCTGGCAGAGCTACACAGGCTCTGTGAGCCAGCAGCGGCCTAGTCACAGCACAGCTTCTAGCCCGTCTCTGTGTCACCATGGGAAATACATGAATCTCGGTCGTCCTGTAGGCCCATATACAAGGTCCACTGACATGCTGGACTTAATCTTTGGTGTCTGGGGGACCCCTCCACATGGACTGCCTAGGGGACAACTATGGGGTGAAGTTTCTCAAAGTAGTTTTTTCAAAGGTTCTTTTTGTTGGCAATGAAAAGAGTCACAGGAATTTCCCATCTGAAATCCTGAGCAGTAAACTTCTTAGAATTCCTATCAGAAGACTTCTACATTAGCATGAAATGTTTTAAGCAATCTAAAGAAAAGAAAGGGGAATCATTTTATTAATGCCTATTATGTTATTGTATGTATATACATATGTGTATGTACATATAAATAGTTAGCTGGAAGGATCACTTAAACACATAAAATACTATTTCAGATGCATATCTTCTTAAACTGCTCTGGCTGTCTTTTGAAAATGCAGAAGATGAAACTAAATGATACTGAGAATATACCAAACAAAAACATTTATTTCAGAACTTCCTTCTTGAGAAGAATCCATGATTTTTCTTGCAATTGATATTTTCCCGCAAGAAACTTAGTTTTGATGAAATGGTGTCTCTTGGCAAGTGTGTTTGCTACAGACATATTTCAGCTGGTTTTAATCTTGGAAGTAGAGAAACATTTATGCAAGCAGGAGCTTCACTCATAAGTGTGAATGAAGTTTCTTCTCTCGTGAGAGAAGAGCTAAAAGTATGAATTGCAGTTATGGCCCCACCAGACCTGCAGTCACCTAGAACTGTGGCTCCCCAGTGACTGGAATTTGCAATTACCTGGTTTTGTGCTTGATGAATGCCAAAAGTAATGAAAAGATTTGAGTGACTGCGTGAAAACTGGAAATGAATTTCTAGAGAAAATTAACAAATCTGTAAGTTAAAGGTCACTGATAGACATTTAACTTTCCACCAATCTTTTCTGTTCTGGTAATTTATGTTATTTTGCACTGGGAAAGATGTTTAAAATGGAATCTTCTGTGTGCCATGTGCCAGAGTCAAGTATATCCAAGAGAGTGTAAAAGGAGGCTTGAGTCTGGTCGGACTGTATTTTATTGTATAACTTGTCAGGGCTTCTATTGGCTCCTGAAGATTGGAAAATAATGTTTTGCTCCTTGATCACAGTTTGTCTTCTGAGTGTTGTTTTTTTTTTGTTTTTTGTTTGTTTGTTTGTTTGTTTTTGATTGTTTGTTTTAACTGGAGAAATTTGAAATTAAAAGGTTACACAGTAAGAAATGTTTGCTGCCTACTTAAGTCAGCTCTGAGAAAACTGAAGTTGAAAAAAAATCATACAATAAATAAGAAAGTCTTTGGTTCCTATTTAAGTCAATAGGAGTCTTTTTACTGATTTCAAAATGCAGCCAGCTTTAGCTGAATGGCATAAATGATTACAGTAGCGCAGCACTCAACTGTCTTGCAATGAGGATTTATGCAGAATTCCAGTAAATTGAGAGTAATCAGACAGCAGATTAGGATTGTCAGAATAAGATGATAAAACAAAATTTTCAGTAATCAGCAGTGACTATTAGAGAGCCCCCCATACTTAATGCTAAGTAATTCACTTTTGAAATCTTAGGAGCCAAAGGAAAGGCTGCAGAGGAGATTTCAGTGTTCCTTACCTTTCAGCACATCCAAGTTCACATGGTGAGTAGCAGTTCTGCTTCACTTCTTCCTCCAGGGAGTGGAACGCTTCAGAACTGGCAGCTTCTTGATGAAATTTCCAAAGGTCTTTATAGGAACTTTCCCTAGGAGGCATAAGTCTCTGTATGGACATATCTTGAGACTCTGCTTCTTGCTCTTCGTAAGTTGAGCTGTCTTCTTCTGGAGGCTCACTGAAATCTGCTGCCACTGGAGAATCCAAACAATCTTCGAGGTCTGGAGAGGTGCTACCTCCATCACTGGTAGACCGGTCCAAACTATTTCCTGCCTCTGGACTGCCTGGCATCTCTGCCACAAACTCCTTAACAGGAGATGGTGCTGGAGTCTATCAAAATAACAAAAAGGTTATAACTTTTGTTCTCCCATCTTCTTTCCTTTAAGAACCAAAGAATTTAAAGAGATTATTGATAAGCATCTTAATGTGAAAATACCGGATGATGACTGGAAGGGAGTAAAAAATGGAGGGAGATACTTATTCACTAAATAACTGTTTTGTCCTTATGTCTGTCTTCTACGTTGTTGAGGAATTCCAGTCAGGGAGCTACTACACAAGTTCCTTTTCCCAATTAATCATTTGCTAGCGGAGACCTCACTTTATTTCTGGTCATATCGTGCCTGAACTTTAGTCTGCATTCTCTTCAGTGTGTAGAAGTGGCTTCCAGATTTGACTCGTATGCAAGGGACTAAAGTAATTGGTCAGACCAACTAAATAGCATCTTGCAAGAGAGTAAGAGGAGAAGGTTTGTTTTCTGGAGACAGTTCTGACAATCATTTCTGTCTGTCCATGGACATCACTTACAAATCCTTCTGGCATTAGAGTAATCATGAGGCCATTCTGCATGGAGCAAGAATAATGCAAATGCATGCTCATGATAGGAGTACTTGTGCATGTGTCCATGAATTGTATTCAAAAGGCATGAATAATAATACTAGCCTTACCCTCTACTGCAGCCTCGACTGTTGTTTTTTTTGTTGTTGTTGTTTTGTTTTTGTTTTGTTTTGTTTTTCTGCTGATTCTGCTAACCATTAATAAGAAACTGAATAACTGGTTGGAAATGTAATTTCACTTAGTTAAGTTTGTTAATAGGAAAAGTTCCTTAATTTCCTCCCACTTTGGGGAGTAATATAATTGAAACCTACAGATTATAATAGCTGCAGTTGGGAAGATCTGCAGTTTCTGGCTGAACATTTAGTAGAACATTTTTAGAAGCAACACTAGCTAGAAGATCTCCTTGGGTATGTGATATTTCACTTCATTGACAGTACTGCAACTCAAAAGTTGTTGCACTGGGATAAACATGTTTCAGATCTGTCAGATTTCTATTTTGGTTGCAGATAAACTGTAGAGGGTACGTTGCATATGGGAAGGGAAAGGAATGGAAAAGAGTGCCTTGGAGAAAAGGGAGGGTTGCTGTATTTGAGGCTAGATAGAAAATGTAGTAGTGTTTTTCCAGGTTTACAGAAGCAAGTTCACAGACAGAGTCTTTGTCTTACCGGGACACACTGCTCTATTTCTGGAAGAACACCTTTTGGTGGTCTGCAGAGAAGTAGTATGACTTCTGGTGGAGCTCCTCTCAACAAGTGTAGGACATCCTAAGCAGGAAGAAGGAATATTAGATTTCTTATGAAATATGTTTTTTCCCCAGTCTGTAGTATACATCTTTTTGCCAACTGATGGGGGATAATTTTTAATGTGATTGCCAAATTCCTAGTATTTGTGCCTCTCAGAAGTGTCTGGAGGCCAGTTATTTTTCTACTCTAAGATCATCATGTTTAAGTGGGCCATATTATTTATATGAATGTGTACCTAAATTCAAGTCTCTTCTGTTTACAAATTGTTGTTCCACCAGCAGACACATAGGTTTAAATTAACCTTTCCCTGTTCTTGAAGAAAATCAGGATTTTCAGGCAAATGCATTCAAACTGCGTGTGACCGGGACACATGTGACAGATCTGTCAATTATATCAGTATTGCCCCATAGACTGCCACACTGACTCTAAGCAATGGAAGATTTTCCCAAAGCCCTTACTCAGAATAACATCTGTCCAGTGGCATCTGTCTTTCAGCTATAATGGGATTTGAAATACTTCAGTAGGGGAGAATATGGGGGGAGAGGGAGTCCTATAAGCAAAAACTCCCTATCTGCTCCTCTGCAGAAACTGAGTAAAAAGTCTGTACACCAATGAGCAAGATGGTACTGGCAAAGGACAGACTTCTCCAAGCCAAAAGAAAAATATGAAGTACAATTACAGCCTCCCTGAGTATTTACTACGCTGTCTTTTGCCTTAACCATTTAATGATACAAATGACATGTCAGTAGGAAAATTGTGTGATGTTCTCATAATTTCTGTTCATAACCAATCATGCCTGTTCAATGTATGTATACAGCACTCGGTATCAGGAATTTTCATAAGGTGAAAAGATTACAAGGGAAAAAAAATAAATTTGCACGTAGTCCTTTGTTACTATTTAATTTCATAACACCATAGAATTGCTCATTCCAGCCACCCCCCTCAAAAAAACAAAATAAAATAAAATAAAAATTAATTAATTAATTAATTGAAGGGAAAAAAAAAAAAAACCAACCTTGCCCTAGACTTATCTCACCTGTTGGAAATTAGAATCTGGGGCATGGTATCTAGCATGTTATGAAACACAAACGACCATGGGGAAAAATGTTTCAATTATTCATGGAAGCAACAAAGATTCCAACTAATTAATAGCTGTTGTTCATCTAACAATACATTTTGGGTGTAAGGAGTTGAAAGTTAAAAATTAAATAGCACAATAAATTATCTGTAACAATTCTGTTATGAAGGGAATTCTCCTTAAGAATTCTAGAGAAGACTCCTACATAGCAATCAAAGTCATTATATGCAAGTACTGACCCCCTCTGGTGATAATTAAGTTTAAATGCAGTTTCATCCCATTGTCTTTATTATCATGTTACCCACCAGGAGGCCCAGTAGGTAACATGCTAGTAGTGCCTGGTACCTGATAAAAGAGTCCTTGTGTAGATGTCCCATTCACGGCTAAAATGATGTCTCCAACTTCAATTTCTCCATTCTCTTCAGCTGGCTGCCCTGGAAACAGTCTTTTGATCCTGACAATAACTCCTCCGAGGTGTTCACAGCCATCTCCTTCCATTTGCAGAACACTAAAGCCAAGGCCTCCAGAATTCTTTGTCAATTTGACTTCAAATATATTGTCTGTTCAAAGGAGGGATTGGACAAAGAGTAGGCTCAATGGCATATGTACCCCTTAAGGAACTGGTATGTATTATGTTCTCTACAGACCTTTTTCCTGTGTTCTGCAGAGATAGATCTAATGACAGAAGATGATTTTAGTGTTCCATTAATTTGAATGAGCCCTAGAATTCAGATGGGCAGACTGATAAAAACTGGTCACTGTTCTACCATGTGTTCACAGGCTTTATGCCATGTGGTACAAGCCTACAAAGGAAGAAGCCATTTGTACCAAGACCAAAAGTTTCAAATACTATCCTTTTCCGACATTCTTCTTTAAATGTTGTGTAGGTCTTACTATTCTGTATGTCTGATGTTAGTTCAGGTGCTGCACAAACCAGCATAAACTAGAATCAGAGCTACTGTCCTTTCGAGACAAGATCAAGAGGCCAGCCATCTCCCAAATACCATACTTGCAGTTGAATCCCATTCTCCTTGGGACAGTGTACAGAAACAACTGTCCCATGGGAGAGTACAGTGCAGACTTGGTGGTTATGGGACAGCTTCACAGCAAGAGGGGGAATCTATTTGTTGGATAAATTCAATGAAAATGATCTGTGAATCTTCTGCTTTCAAGAAAAGAAGTGATGGCAGTTTCCAGTCCTGGCTGTAGGGCAGCAGCTCACCCTAGCTTCGTCACTGCCACAGCGTCAGCAGGCATGCCAACTGAGCTGCCTTTGAGTAGCAGACTAGTGACACTGGCACAGCTGCTTCCTGCCCAAGAGTGCTGTGAGTACAGATGGGGATGTCCCCTGCCAGTCCCATCTCATGAAGGCTGAGAGATACAGTACTTATGCCTAGGATAAATTCACCTGTATGTAGCAACTGTAGCTCTAAGCATATCAGATGTATTTATCTTTTTCAGAAACATTTTTGATAGTGTTTTTAATGCTAAGTGTTTTTTTGCTTGGTGTGCAGTTTTTCTCCCAACCCACAGAAATTTCACAGAATTATTTTTGTTCATTCCTTTCTTGCTCATCATAAGTAGCCAGAGAAAGTCACCCTGAGTTCCTTTGTTCTCTCTCACCATCTGTCAAAAAGCAGTAGTCCTTGGTACCGTCTGTGAAGGATGTTGCTACAGAAACAACTGCACATTGGTCTTCCTTTCCATCATTAGCACTCAGGCATGGCTGTGCCGGTGGGTGGTGTCCCCGTTCTAGAACCAGCTTGGCAACCTAAAAAAAAAGACGAACAGTGCCCATTTACACAGTACACGGTAAACCCACAGTCACAAGGCAGGGAAAGAAAAAGTTTCTTTTGGCCCTGCTTTGCTGCTGTGTTTTATAGTAAGTACAGTTTACAGAGTCATACAATCACAGAACGGTTTGGGTTGAAGGGGACCTTATAGCCCAACTAATTCCAACCCCCCTGCCGTGGGCAGGAACACCTCCAACTAGACCAAGTTGTATGACTGGTCATCCCATTTTGCTCTGCTGTTACACAAACCTGGCCAGATTTCTTAAGGTTTTCCACAGCCTGCTTGTGCGTGAGGCCACAGAGGCTGATTCCATCTACTTCCAGCAGACGATCACCTGAGGAAAAAAAATATGAAATAAGGGGGGAAGGGATGTCAAATTGCTTTGATGATACAAATTGGAGATAAAACTTGAGGCTACCCATGTTGCATTTTTTCTTCATGCTTATGTGTTTCAAATCATGTTACTTTGCTTGAAAGCAATGCTGTTTATTTTATAGTATTCTATAACTAATGCTTAAAACACACCACTTTCCAGGGTATTCTAGAAACTAATGCAGTGATAGCATCTGCTTATCACAGCAACACAGAAAGTAGGTGTCTGAGAGTCAGTGCCCTGGTGTGCAGCTACAGAGGGAAGCTGTGCAGTGTTGGTATGAGACTCCTGTTTTTTCAGTGAAATATCAACATATAAACTACAGTGGAAGGCTAAGGAATGAGGGACTGCATATAATGTTTTGTAGCTGTGTGACCTTCAATCTTTTCAAATGCTGAAACAAACATGTTTCATTATCTTGTAGTAAGTATTCCACACTAATGTCAAATTCTGCAGCCCAGAGTTTTATTGCCAGACTTGTTACCTATCTTTATTTGTCCATCCTTATCTGCCGGTCCCCTGGGAATGATTGACTTCACATATATCCCACCAAGAGGCACACTAGTGTTAATTCCACCCTGCAAAACATACATGCACAGATTAGTGTGGAGTTTTCACATGTTCTTCACTTGATAAAAATCAACACAACTTATGTATGCATTGCAAAGAAACTGCTTCAGAAAGTACATTTAAAAAATATATAGGGGAAAAAAAAAAAAAGAGGATGTTACTCCAATGTTCCATCTAGTTGTAATGTACTTCCCTAGGCAGTAATTGTGCCTTATTTTCTCAGGAAAGTGCAGTGTGTTTCTATGTGGCTATATAGAAACATTTACTAAATGTTCAGATTTTTTTTTTTTTTGTTCAGATTTCCTGTGCTAATGTAAAGATCTGGTTGCATCTTTCAGTCAGTCTCTAGCCCAGCTTCCAGACATTGCAATATGTATTCAGCAGCTATTGGCCTTTCAGACAATATATAAAGCTTGGACCTGACCTCGTGCAGCCAGAAGAATTCCATATTAAACTAAGAATCATGTTGTGTCCAGCTACATCCTTTGGCCAATTTCAGATGACAAAGCAGCTCTCCATTTCTACTGCAAGAAATGAAATGGCTGTTGCTTCCAGCTCCATTTCAGCAAGGCTTATCAACACACCTCAGCCTGGAGCAGTAAATTCAATCTTGATATCCAGAACAAGGAATTAGTTTTTCAAATGTGGCGCATAAAGTTTTCACTGTTCCCTTCTCTGGTCTTCTGAATATATGGAAAACTGTATTTTTGTACATTTGGAACTAAAACTGGCCAGGGTCCTTTGTCTACCCTTTAGAGTATGAAGCATGGCTTATCTCGAGTCCATGCAACTCAGCTCTCATCTCCAGAGCATGAGATGACTGGTTTTGGTCAGTCCTGTTCCCTGCACAGGCCAAAGCCCTATTGGGGAGTGTGTCAACACTTAAGCAGTGACTTGTGGGCACTGCTTGAATCTGTACCATGGTCCTGTGTGACCTGCTTGCATAAACACAGCCTTCAAGTTTCAGGAGCCCCAGGGGAAAACCCGTCACGGTCTGGCTTTGCATCATTGCATTTTCTAGAGGCTTTGGCTGTATCCCTCCCTGACAGAAACCCACTTTCAGTGGTAGGTCTCATTCGCAAATTGAGCAAAGATGAAAAGTACTTGTAGCACCATGTGCTTTATGCTGGGACATGTCTTTCACAGATTCTGTGGGCAAGAACAGGGGAATGAGCCAAGCCAGTACTATTATCCTTTCTCTGTCATTCAGTTGGATACTTAAGTTTGAAATGTGCCATGCTACCAGTTTTTCCTTTATCGACCTATCTTCTACCTTTGCTGCACATGAATACACTTCCCTACATGTTTCTTGATTACGTGACAGTTTGAAGGACACACTGAAAGATTAACAGTAACACTTGCAGTCACACTGATTCCAAAAGTCCCATCTTCTTTAACAAGCTCTACAGTATAGATTTCATTGGAGATGGTTTCAGCTGGATGTGGTAAGTGTGAAGAATCAGCTTCCTGTCTCAAAAAAAATAAACACTAATGAGACTACTGCATCTCAAGAAAATAAATAAATAAATAAATAAACAAATAAATAAATAGATAAAATACATGTAAAAAGAGAGAATGGGTTTCCAGAAGATATAAAGGTTTTGATCCTGCTGTCAGTGTACGCCTGGAATGGTAGCATTTATATCCCTGACATTATTTCAGGCATACACTGTTACTCAAAAAATAATCCATCTAAATGTGCATAAACTGAGTGTAGATAGGGAGGCTGCTTAACAGAAGAAAATTAGACACAAAATATTACTACTCTGTGGGTGGTTGAAAACTTAAAGAGATTGCAGAAAATAATCAAAATTTTGTAGTTCACTGGAGAAGGGAGGACAACTTTTAATAACATTTTGTAGAACAGTTTCTCCATTTTTTTACTCATTCTAGACATGTATCATTTTGACATTTCCAATGTAATTTAAGAAGCAACAAGTTTCAAGGTTTTCTTCCTTCTTTCCTCATTCTTTAATTTATCAGTTACTTTCCATTCTTATTATAGATGGCATGTTGTTAAGACATATGCTGGGCATCATGCTACTCTACAACATCACAATCTCAGTTACCTCCACATCCAGGCTATCAGATGAAAGAACTGGAATCCTGGGGCCCAATTTTGGTGCTAAACTCCAGGAAAGAGCCTTCTCAAGTTCATCTATATTTGGGTCCTTTTCTTTGGGGAGAGCTGTATGGCAATCTTGAATCTTTTTTCTCCCACTGTCTACACAAGAGATCTCATATCCACTAGTGCTGTTTCCCCTTGATAGACTCTTTTCTTCATTTAATCCTTCTTCGTATATGTCTGCAAAACCATACCAAAATCAAACATTGATGAATGCAAACAATAAGTAAACTTGAAAGCCGATATTGTATATCACCACAGAAGGACAAAACAGCTTACTAAATCAACTGGTTGTGTAATCAGGTCTGTAAAATGAGTTAGCCATTGCAAAATGGAGCACTGCTATTATAAGGAGGGAGAAAAGTATTTGCTTCATCACTGCAGAGAACTATGACAATGATTCTGATTCAAGGTTGGGATGTAGAGCTAATTCTGTCATAGAAAGAAATGCTGAAATTCCCTTGGTATTTAGCAGTGAAGAATAAAGCCCATAATTGATTAGATTTTTTCATACTGACTATAGAACAGAGATCTCATGACAGTCACTGGAATGATTTTCACTGCTAACCAGTGGTTATTATAACTGGCACTGAGTGGCAAGAAGGTGCTACAACATCCCAGAGCCTAATAAATACCAGTGTCCTGAGTTAATTGCTAGCACTCCATAGCCAGCAAAGATGTTTGCCTTTATACCTTTGGGTTGAGAGATGATCAGCTCCACTTCATCAGGAGAATTCTGTATAATTTTAACTGCAGTATTGAATGAAACACCTTCAAGACTAATATTATTCACAGAGATGAGTCGACCCCCTTAAAAAAATAAGGATAAAAATAAGACAGTGCACATCAGGATAGGGAAATAAGTTAAGTAGTTAACTTTAATCCATGAGAGTATTTTGATTCTAATTAAAAACTAAGGACAGTGACCTGGTTTGATATTTCCAGCTCTGTCTGCAGGTCCCCCAGGGATAATTGAAGCGATAAAGATACCGAGGTCTAATTTTCCTACATTTTCTCCTCCAATAATTACAAAACCTGCAAAAGTGAGATAGCATGAGAATGCAGACACTGGCAGTATTAGAAAACATGAACCTTAGAAGCACAAAAGGCTCTTACTCCAATGGCATAAGTTTATTGCAAATTTGGGAGACTGGTGCATCAAGATCCTGATTTGAGAGAGCTTTAAACTCGTACTATAATTTAAGCATGCTGGTGACTTCATTGTCTGTTATTTTAATACAATTTCTCAATAAGAGTATTTTTCTGGCTTGGGACTTTAAAGAATTCCAACTGCTTTCTTATAAGAGTCATAAGTTATGTTGACCTTAGTGTTTAACACCGACAGGAGGAATAAGGTATAAAAGCTCATAAATTAGAGCATTATTTTACATTGTGTGGTCTAGGACCCCTGTGAAGAGAAATGCCAACTTCTAATGGATATATGAGGCATGTAAGAAAATTAAATCTATTGTTAATTAATTTAATTTCATTATCCTGGCTTAGAATATTCTGTAACAGGCTGACTTCTCACTGGTAGAACAGTTGGGTTGGGAATCAAACGTGCCACACAAACCTGCACCATTTAGAAATCTGATAATAAATAGCATTAATGGTCAGTTATGGGACCTGATGGTCCTCTGAACTCATCCACTAGAAGAGGATATACTGTGATAGTGTATTATGTAACACAAATGTTATCCAAATAAGAATCTAGAAGTCAGGAAACATTCATGTTAGGCTTGTGTACGCATTTTGCACCCACACAGGCAATATGTGAAGGGTTTGCAGAATATCATCTGCTCCTGTTCCTTTCATTCTACTTTTACCATTTGGTCCCCTTGATCTCTGACACTAGTTAATCCTCTGAAAAAAAAAAGTGTGGCCTTAATTTATGCACTTAGTCCTCTTAAGTCTGAAATGTTAAGACCTTTGCAAAGACTGGCAGTCTTATTCTATAAGGAGAATAAATGAGGTGAAGAAGTTTACAGTCTTGCTCAGCATGAGTCAGCAAGCATCAGTGTTTACACCAGGACCTGACAGTCCCAGTAACAAATATAACACTCATGTTCCTTACTTACCAAAGCCATTCTTAGGGTCACGTTTTAGGCTGACACAAATGATTTCTCTTTCTAGACCGCTTAGTAAAACTTCTTTTTGAATGGCTGGTGATCCAGGTGCTGCAGAAACAAAACAGCTAGAATAAATGCAGATGAGTGCAAGGAGATGGGCGACTCAAGTAGCATGCAAAAATGGGGTTTCAAAAATTAAATATATTTCTGTCCTTGTTTTCATTATATCTGATTCAATATAACTCAAGAAGGAATCTCAAACAAGTGTTTCAAAATTTACATTCTTTAGAACAGAATAATATGTGTAGAACAGGGAAGCACAGTAACTGCGTGAGCTCTTTCTATAATGCTCCTTTCTGGGCGAGTATGCATTTATTTGCAGCACTTTGATTAAGACAACTAAAAAATCAGGCATATAGCACCCATTGAACATGAGGGAGATTTGAACATGAAAAGTAGTATAGATTCCTTTGGAAACTCTAGCCTTAGGCCCTGTGGGCTCAACAGAGTCCTTTTGGCTCTGTAGGTGCAATTCAGCCAGCACCAAGTGTGATGATGACATTGTGGAATTACTTAAAATACAGGTCTAACTTAAAAATGGACTAGCCGAAAAATCGTAACTTTTGTGTTCCATGTATCTGCTCCCTTTGTGCATGTGATACAGACATCTGGCTTCTGTAAGAAAATTAGGTGCCTTGTGCTTATTTTTCCAGTTAGTTTTATCATGCAAACACAAGAACAGAGGAAGAACCTGGAGCCTATTTTATCTTGTGCACTATTTATTGTTTAGTACATCTCAGTTGCAACCAAATTATGACCTCCAAGCATAGACACATTGCCTCATGTGAAAGTCCTGGGTGTACTGAACTATTTCAGTAAAAAAGATTTTTTTTTGGCACCACTGACTGAATAATTTGATAATCAAGTCCCTTAACACTCATCCTGATGGAAAGGATAAGTGAAAGGGAAGAAAACAGCTTGCCATGCTAAGTCCTGGGTTAATTTGCAGGGCAAGAAGTGCAAAAGGTTATTCTTTAATCTATAAATAGGATATGTTTCAGTCTCCTGGTATTGAAACCATACATATGTAAGAGTAACGTCTCTCTTCATGATTATCATACTCACCACTGATTGTGTTCTGAGTTGAGTGGATAGAAAGGTAGTCATAACTCCTTTGCTTTCCATTCAAATTGATGTGCATTTCTGACTGGGATAGCCCTGATGTGGATCTGCATGGCAGAAAATGAAAACTGCATTACAGTAACAAATCAACGGTGGTATTTAGCACTCTTCACTGTCATTAGTCTGTCAGAGCCAAGTTGGGAATACACATGTTTATAGCCTTTCAACCAGTATTCTGATTGCTGGGCCACATTTCACTGTAGGGGAGAGGTAGTTTATCCTTGCCAGCATTTGCTTCCAAATAACAGCTGCCATTAGACCACTCACATCACAAATGATTTTCCCCTGTGTTTTTTTCTGAGCTGAGTGCAGGCAGCAGGGAAACACAACATAGCCTCAGCATGATTCATTAGCTCTGCTGTTCATTCAGACAAAACCGTGTCTGAAAGTTTTCCTGGTAGTTCCCGTTCTTCTTGGCACTGTTCTAATTCTTAGTATTCCAGAAGGCACTAGAATTCATCAAAAGCCTTGAAATGCTGTGCAGCTATAGTAACTGCCTACACTGGTGTAGCACTGTAAGTGAAAAGGGAGATGCTCTTATGCTGTTCTCTGTGATTTGCACCTTTAGTCACAGAGGCCTGCTCATAAACAACTTCCACTGTGCATTCAGTTCACCTACTGCAACTTCCAGAGAAGATGCACATATTAAAGGTTTTACTTTCATTCTTCCTCATTTTTATCTTTTTCCATATCCCAGTACATGGTTAATTCCTGAGCCTGGGAACAAATGTAATTTGCCTGGTACAAATTTAAATGCCAATCTGTTTCAAGGTCTTATCTGTGAGGTTGTTACCTTCCTGCCTGTGTTTACACTGTTGCTGACACAAAGGAGCCCTGGTCCTGGTGGGGACTTCTGGTGTGATCACAGTAAATACTGCAAAATAAAAGCCTGCCTTACATCTACTGTAGAGGTTTGCAATGATGTTGTGTATGACTGAGTGTTCTTCCACAGGTTTAGAGGAAAAAGCAAACATACCTGGCAAGATTGCTTTTGTCTCTAGTCCTGTTGCCGGTTTCAACACTGAGGTTATCACAAGACTTGCTCATCATGCCAGCAGAAAGGTTTTCCAGGTTTGCCCCATACAGCACGTTCTCTGAACGAGACAGTCTCTGAATCAGGGCAAGGTGCTCATGCTGAGCTGCATATGCAGAGTTTGATTTGTCTATTTCCATAAATTTACTTTCCTCTGAATAAGAAGGGAGATAGGGGGAGGAGAGAAAGATAAGTCCGCTGACATCAACCCATCTTTTTAAGCAATTTCTGTCTAGCCTTTTGAACACGCCAGAAAAAAAGATTGACATCACAGATATATTTGTTCTGGTATCCTTGAGGATATCCAGGCCTAGGAGTGCATGAAAAGAGTTTTCAATCAATTTCTTTCATAGGTAATATACACTGTATGTAGATGTCATTTCTGTGAATCATACTACAAATTCACTTTCCACAAAGACAGATAAAATGTACAGCCCTGTATAATTTAAACCTGAGTATCTTTATAAATTGCATGTTGTAAAAGTTCAGGGTATGGAGAAAGCTGTCTGTCAGAGACTGAATCACCAGGCTGGTAGTTTTCCATCCTCCACAGGCCCACTATTGTGTGTGAGAAGAGAAGAGCACTACTAACACTGCTGTCCTGAGATCGGAAACGAGCCAAGAATCAATCCCTCTCTGCCCTGAGGGATTTACACAAGTGAAGTTGAGTGGGAGATGATCTTTGTGGTAATGCATGGTATCCAATTTTCCACCTCTGTGTGAAATCTGCTATTTAATGATGTCTGGGCTCTGCAATCTACAAATCTATTTTCAGGGAAATAAAAGATTTTATTTCTCTGAAACAACATAATGCTGGAGAAGGCACTGATGATTTACTTAGATTCTCAATTGATGGGCAGGAGTACCCCTAGGAGGGGACTTGAAGAAGAAAGAGGTAGCAGGCAACTGGAGGCATGTCTGAAAATAAAACAAGAACCCAGTGTGGTGCAGGCTAACACAAATACAGGCTTTCATTCTGCTTGTACGTGCCAGCTGACCTCCCATGCCTTTTCCTAACAAATACTACCCTGAATGCAATTTTCTGCAATATTACTCTGCAGCATTAAACCCAGACTCCCTCATCCCTCAGTGGCTTTGATCGGGGGCATTTGTGGAGGTGTCAGGGCCTTGCTGCCGTGGTGTTAGCTCGGCCTGAGCGTTGCCATGGTGACTCCAGAGCAGGGATGATGGCTAGCAGGGCTCCAAGAGACTGCAGCGTATGCATCTGAGCAGGGCAGGAGGACGAGCTTCCCTCACATAGAAACAGCCTTATAATCTCCTGCAGACTCCCTGCAGTGGCAGAGGCGGCATTTTGAGCTGCTGTCCGTCACTGCCTCCACGGAGCCTGCTTTTCTGGGACAGCAGCACACACAACCTCACAACCAGAGTCACACGGCTCGTATAAGTCTGGCTGATTTCAGGGATGTGAGGAGCTTGTAACTGGGACCTTGGTTATAATTTCCTTAGCTCTCAATCATTTTGTTCTATTTGGAACTACACAGTAATTTTCATTAAGAAATATTACTGCAGACAAACAAACAAACAAAGTCTTGTGGTTTCCTGAAGGGAAGTTTAGTCGTGCTTTTCTTTAAACTGAGTTTAGCTATGTAGTAGTTCTCAGCAGAGTACCCCTCGCCACTCACATCATTTCAATAAATGAGACTGACACACCTCCAGCTTCCAGTGAAGTAGAAGACATTATTTTCTGCTCTGCAAATGACAAACTGAGGCACAGAAAAGTTGCTGTGGAGGTTCTGATTCTCAGCCTAACTAAAGCACTTTTCCCTTCCTGTGAGTTCTTTTCTCCCCTGTAACACTTAACCTTGTCTTGTTGCTTGTACAATGAAATTGCATTTATTGCTCACCTGATGAAGTTTGCCGAAGTTGCCTAGAGTTCATCTGTGCATTGAATTTGTGTTGGGCTGAGCAGAGGTCCAGCAGATATTTACACGTCTTTGCTGTATCAGTAATGAATGTGTGTTTCTTGCCGCTGAAACTACTTTCAATCATGAATTTTTTTCTCTAAAGGAAAAAAAAAAAAAAAAAAAAAGAGCACAGCTTGCTTCATATAACACATCAGTCATTATACTGAGGCACTGAAAGCTCATTTGTATAATTTTGTTGGTTTGTCTAGATGTATTTATGCCTTGCTGCATCCCTTGTGGTTGCAGTAAATGCCCACCGTAAATTCGACAGTTGTGAGTGAGGTGTTTGTCATTTGGATCATAACTGTGCTGTGCTGAATGTCAAAAGCCTTTGGACACTGACTGTATCGGGAGCAGGTTGATAGGCTTGGCAAAATTTGGCCCTACAGATGTTAAAGAAAGGCCATTTTGGGGGAGCAAACAGGTTGGGAGATTTGTGATGAAGATTGACACCTACGGTGTATAGTAATACATTGATACGCCTCTGATGGCAGAATATTATTTAGAAAGGGGTTATAACCTTGTCACCAATGCTGGTTTAACAGACATCGATATACTAAGAGATGACGATGCAAAAAGTGAGGTCTAGAAAGGGGAAGGCATGATCCTGTGACCTGATGTAGAAAGGAAAATGAAAGAAGAGAAGTAAAGATGATAGAGGAATGAATAAGGAATATGCTCTCAAGAGGTGTGACATCATTCCTGTAGTAGCCAATACCGGCTTACTCAGTTTTGTAGTAATTGACTTCAATCTTGGCAAAAAGAAAAAAAGCCAGAATGAAACCTCGCTAAGAGCTAGCTATCCTGAGATCCACATCCAGATTTTCAACTGGTTTCAATAAGCACATGTCTGTATGGAATGAGTCTAATCCTGGCTCTGAATGCAAGAAGTTTATCAAAGTGACAGGCAGAAGGGGAGTAAAATAGTATAGTGGAGAAGAGGCTCACTGAGTTGCAACTCACATGAGCTGAAATTCTTTCTGTTTCACGCCACTGGAATCTTAAACTGGCAATTCTTGTGTGATTTTTGACCTCATATACAATGATGCCTTTGGCACAGATTCCCAGGATGATATCCCCTCCTGCTCCTTTCTTCTCCTGGGACACACGATGGAATAGCACTCCATATTCAGGAAGCTGCTGAGTCACCTAAAAATAAACAAACAAACAAGCAAACAAAGACACATCACACCTTATTCAAAAAGAGGCATGGGGAGAAAAAGGTAGGTAGGTGTGAAGGGAAATGGTTTTGAGTGCCTTTACAGAATATTCTTTCACTCATTTAAGAAACCCTTGGAAACCCTTACGAAATTTTCATACTTACTGCATCACAGAATCATCACCTGCCTTGTGTATGTCATAGCACACTCATTTTCTTTGATAAAATTGAAAACACTTTCCCACACGCCTCAATTGAAAAGGTAAGATGATTATTTAGCTTCCTGTATAATAATCTAAACATTACAGTTGTGTTGAGGTGCTCAGTATTACTGCTACTTAGCACTTGCCTGGACTTCTGAATTGAAATCCGTGCAAGATTAATGCTGTTCATCAGCTGCTAAACATAGTTTCTTTCCATTCTCTTTACTATGCCTTTGTTTCCCTGAGCAAACCCGGAAACCATGAAGTACAGCAGATATGCTGATCTTAGTAAAACCGCTCATACTTTGGTGCCAGGGCTGCTCTGGCATTGTTACAGCTTTGTGCAGTTTCCTTTCTGCAACAGTGATGAACAACTTGAAATCTTAACTGCAGTGATACCACAGCTCCCAGCCTTCAGCAAAGTCACTCAAATACATATGTTCATTCCTTCATCACTGTCATATTTTGGAACCAGACGTTATAACCTTCCACTGCCAAGAATCTTAAATTATAGAGTTTGCTAAGTTGTACCTCAAGGTAACTCATACAGATATGGTGGTGACTTCTGAGGGAATTTTACTGCCCCACAAATTCCTTCAATGACAGACTTTATAACAGACCTTCAGCATGGCTTCTTTCTTGCATGGTGCTCCTGGCTGGGAGAAAAGTTAAGCAGGATTATACTTCAAGGGACTGAGGAGCCAGCTTCTGGTCCTGCCTTCTGACAGTGTGCAGAGGACGCTCTGAGGAACCACACCCAGCACTTCTAGATGTTGTTGCTTGTCTTTCTACCGCCTACACTTGGCCACATAATGTTAAAATGGGACTGAGACCTTTTACAGAACTACAGCATATGAAGATGACTTTCTGGCCTCTTGCGATGTGCAGATCAATGTGAGTTTATTGTAATACACTTTTTTTCTGGGAAGCTCATGTAGAATTTCCAAATGTCTTTTCAACTATGAATAGAGATTTTAAGTAGCCGAAACAAAGCACTTTAAAGAGATCTATTTTTCAGAAAGAATCCAGAGCAGAAATGTTCAGGGCTTGAAAACTGGGGTGTCCATAATCACTAGCTGAATCTTGGTTTTAATTTTTAATCCCTTTTATATTTGGAATTTGCTTGTTCTTGGCATGGGGGCTATCTTTCTCAGTGTGTATGATGTGTTGGCTCCTTCTACAGACTTATTCATTGAAACAGATACTAACAAAGCTGCTTTTCTTCATTGGATTTGCCACACATGATGGGACTGTCATTAAGGCTAAGCTTCAATCTATTTCTTCAATTCCACTGACAGTATTAGATGATAAACTAACATAATTAAACAGCAACTGAACTAAAACGACGCTATAAATAAAAGCATAAGGCACTGCACTGCAGCAAAATGGCTGTTATTTATTCATTATCTAATTCCTGACATTTTTCATTTGATGGAAAGCAGAGAAGTTTGGAGAGAAGGGGACATCAAGAAAAAAATTAAATCCCACATCATCCTAACACCCTAGAGAAATAGTCATGTGAGAAAATACTTCAGCTAACTCCTTCCTCACTTCCAGGGCTCATAGATACTTTTAAACAACTATTCACTGCTTGTTTAGAAAGTGTCTGAACATCTGATGTAGTTCCAGAAGTCAAGTGCTTATTCCCATGCTTTACAGTCATCTGTAGTACAGTATATTATATATACAGTAATAGGTGTATTTATAATCACATAGAACCTAGACAACGTGTTCGTAACATGCTGGAAACTTGCATCAACCCTTAGGATGTTGAAATGTGCATTAACTCTTTATAAACTGTCAATAAAAGGAAACCTAATATTTCAACTTCAATATAAGTTATTTATGGTGACAGTATATACAGCAGAACAAAAATGTGAGTTTTGTTTTAAATATTCAGATTTGTTCACCACATCTCAAATCCTCAGTATCAGACAAGAAGGAAACGATAGACAATGGTAAATAAAAAAGGATTTGCTGCCTCTAACTAAACAGATAAATACTGTCTGGTGTGTGGCAAGTTACCTTCAAAAATTCTAGTTCAGCTTCGTCCTCAAATAGGGAGCGATTCATACGGTGTAGTTTAGCAAGCTCTCGCTGTACATAGGCCAGGGTCATTTTCTCTATTCGACTTGCTGGAATGTAGTCTTCAACACGAAAATAGCTCTTTCCATGTACCTTTGGGGGAAAAAATGAAAAGACAAAGAGAGAGGAGCCTTTTGTTCTGTCTTCACTTTTCTTATTTGGTGCATTTCCATTTTCAGTGACCCATACACTGAAGTCATCCTGCTGCCATTTCCTATAAGGAGATAGGGAACAGGAGATAACGTCCTGACAGCTATGCCTCTTGCACCTGTGCTCAGCAAGGTGCTCAAAGCCACACTGCACCATGCAGAGGTGGGCCTATGGGCATGCCGCAGTCATGCACTTAGAGCTGACAGCCACAGCTGCATCCGCAAGAGCCAATGCAAAACTGGATCAAACCAGATGGATCAGACAACTCAGAGTTAATTAACAGAGCTACACCAATTTATGTAACTAAAGATATGGCAAAGAACTTAAATGGATATTTTCTGTATGCTTTGAAACTACAAAAACTAGTTCAGATATTCCATCAGCAACTTGCCTGTCTTTGCAGCTTGTGGATCTGAGCCTATACACAAAATCTCTGTGAAATCCGGAGTGTTTATTTATTTTTCTCTTCCTTGCTTTCTAATCTCTTTAAGCCCCTCTGCACATCCAAGCTGTACCCATGCTGGAAATTTTCTACAGATTTTCTGGAGTTTCTTGGCCATGTTGCTAATTATAACGGACCAAGAGTCTTTCATCATTCTGCCATGTTTCCTGCCAAATTCATCTGGCTCACTACCATTGCTTAATCAGACAAATTTTGTAATTATTTAAACTAAATCTGAAATGTGATTACTGAAGGACTTAGCTAAAATTACATGCTATTCACATTTCATCTTTTAAGTATGTGACAAGCAAAAGCTGTAAAAGCTGTTGACAGAGACCTCTGAGAAATATTGTACTATTTATCCACACCTCAGAAGCATAATTGCCAAGCTCTGCCTGTAAGGCCAAAGCGCCGAGTTTCAGGGCAGTCTCATCACTGCAGTATAATCGCTCCTCCAAAATATCTTTACGAAGCTGCAGGTAAAACTGATGTCTTGTCAAGCCATGCCTGGAACATAGAAGGGATTAGGAACACAGAATGAGCTTTGAACACTCAGCATAAATGCTACTGTTTTACCATCAGTCAGCAGAACCATGCACTTACTGGATGATATTAAAGTGGTTTACAAAGAATTTTATCCTCAGAAATAGAGTGAAGTTAATGATGGAGGTTTTCTTCTTGGGTTGGTCATTCCAGCCTTCTGGAGCCACTTTGTAGAGCTTGGTATCATCATCCAAAAAGAAAAACTCTTTACCTGAAATGAGAATTAAGTTTGGAGCCCAAAATAACTTCAGTAGCCCAAAATTCTGTTCAGTGAAGATTGTTCAGTGCATCTACTTCTCTGTGCCATAGTTACCTTATTGCTGCTTTGTCAGGGAACTTAGGATAACATTTAATATGTAATTTAGGATTACAATTGTTAGATGCTGGATTGGTGTGGTATCTTTGGAATTGTTCAAGAATTTATGGGACTTGCATCTTGCTTGCTAGTCAGGTTCTGTGCCCCATTGTAATCCCTGTGCCCTTCACACAATGTATTCTTCCTAGTACCTCAGCTGCGTTTGCCAGCAGAATTGGGCTATGAAGATGTGGATTTTATATGTGAAATAACTGAGCCTGTACCCCAGTGTACACCTAGGAGCAGTGACAGTCAGCCCTCCGCAGAACAGTGCTTCCTGGGATTCTGCTGGGGGAACATGGCTCAGCATCATTCCAGTGCAAGGCTGGGCCAGAGCCTTTTCTGCATGGGAATACCAGCCTGTATCTCCATGGCTGTGCTGATGCACGGTTCAGGGGCAGACATGCTTTACATCAGTGCAGTGCAGTTTAAACCAACATTCCTTACTTTTACTTAAGCTTTGGATTTGCTTTCGTCTGAGGATCTTAAAGGATCTTGCTGCAATTCATTAATGCAGAGACTACAAAGGCACTGTCAGGAGAGAACTGGTACCATAGTTAGCTGTGTCTCAGTACCTTTCAGGTAAGCCAAGCCAAAGTAGAAATGTTCCACCAAGTTTGCATATGCCACCACAGTATTGAAAACATCTCTTGCCTTGGACTTCACGTCACATTGCACCTCAAGGCACTGCCCGTTGAGTAGAATCACATTGAGATCCCTTTGGGACAAATAGGATTTTCCCTTTTTAGTCTAAGAACATGTAACAAAGAGTGAAGAATGAGTGCCAAGTACAAGCAATACAAGATCCACAGCACTTTTGTACTTTTTTTACTAGTCTCCCGTCACTACACAATTTAATGGAATTGGTCACAAGACATCCTCCCTGCCTTTTTTGACATTAAACAATATCCCAAACATATCCAATTTAAATTAAAAAAAAAAAAAAAAAAAAAAAGAAAAAAAAAAAAACAACAACAGGGAATACCCACAAAACAGCTGAGCATACACAGATTCTACAATCACCAGGGCTATTCTAGATTTGAGGGTAATTCCAGATTTTTTTTTTTACTCTAATATTTACTGCTGTATGCTATCAGCCTTTTACCTTAACTTATTGAAAGGTAAAGGGTGTGCTTGCAAAATGGAGAAGCCCAGTATGTTGGCACTAGATGTCACATTCCTTATTTGCTGTATACTTTTAGTCTCAAAAGTCTTGCACTAAAATTAGCCTTCTTAGCTGAGAAAGATGAATTCAGCTATTTTTGCAACAGTCTCAGCAACAAAGATATCTGTGTAGCACTGAGAATTAAATGGCCTCCTTCCAAGTCTCAGTACATCTGCAGGACCTTGGTCTGGGGAGAGGACATGACAAGGGTACTGGGCTGGGACTCAGATGCAATTTAGAAAAAGCCCCAACTCAAAGGTGTCTAGATGAGTTCTAAATTCTTAATGTTCATACTTACCACAATTGATCCAGGCAGCTGTAAGGTCACTGGTGGTTCACTAGACAGAATAATAAATTCTGGACCTGAAAACTGTAAGGAGGCAATTTAGAAATTTAGTAAATGTCTCCTTAATGTAATAAAGATCCCTAACACTGGTACCAATGAAACGTAGTTCTGTTGATCTGTGTGCTTTAGCTAACTGACTTGAGTATCTAATAAGATGCAAATGCTAATTAAAGACTTCTCTTTGGGGACTGTCCTGTGTGGACTCTTTGGGGTCAAATTAGGGGTGAGCTCATGGTGGAGTCTTTTCTTCTGTATAGGTCCTTAACCAAGATCCATTTCCTTTGCAGAGCACCTATTTTCATGATATTCACTGAAACATCATAGTTTCTTCTGAAACCTTGTTTCTGTGTCAAAAGTGGCTGAAAAAAAGCATTTGATTCCTGAGTTACTCTGGCAGTCACAGACATGTACGCACAAACATACACACCACTGGGATTTCATAAGCCTAACTGCCATGCGGAACCACTCTAAAATGCAGAGCTGCTTTATTCCATGTATTATATTTCTTATTAGCAGAACTTGTATGCTTTTGCTTTAGCTTCAACAAATGCACAGAATGATTCTTTCCAAGCTTAATATTTTTTTGTGTCGGCACAGTTTGACAAGTTTTAAGAACCATTTAAGGGAATACCACCGATTTGCTTTTAAAAGTGTTGATATTTCACAGCTTCCATGCTATTTTGGAGAAGACCTAGTATTCCTTTCACCAGGACTTATGAGCTTTGGTTCTACGCTGTGTAATGTATAGTTGCCCAGCTGAGGGGTAGTGTGATGTGCACAATGTGCAGCTCTCCCCCCTGGGTATACCACAGTGAATCAATGACAGAGCTGTGAACAGAGAAGCATCCTATGGTCTAAATGCTAAACTACACTGGCTTTCTTTTCAGGCTCCTGACAAGGAAATCTCAAGGTATCAGCCTATTATTAGGTCTAGACATCAAGGAGAGAAAACATTTTTAAATTCACCAATATGCTGAACGCTGATTTTGTGGCCAGTTGCTGGTATTTTGTCAAGTACCAGAGCTGCTAAATGTCAGTGAATACAAAATGATTTAAGGCTATCTTAGCTAGACCTTCTCAAAGAATCATGAGCTAGAAATGTCAGGAGGACACAATACAAAGAACTTACTATTTTGAGCAGTAATAATTTAAGCATCAGGCTCTGACTGTTGCGGGACAGAGTACAACAAATCAGATGTTTTGTATGTAATAAAAACAGGGAACAATAAAAAGGCTCAAAGGCCATAGCCCTTCCCTCTGCAAACCTTTACTCCCTCGTATCATCTGAGCATTGTGACTTTAACTTCTTACTGATAGTCCCTCTGTATTCATGGTAGAAAACTGCATTGTCTCTTGACAGGACAATACTTGTATTATGAAACAAACCATAAATTTTCTAAAAAAAAAAAAAAAAAGGAGAAATATCTAAATGGGTCAAAGAACTACATCATGGAGAGTGGTTGGAAGGATTCACATCTTACCACTCTTACCACTTGCAGACATTTAGTCATTTTTGTCTGCTTCAAGGATTTAAAAGCACAGATGAACCTGAAAAAAACAATATGTAAAAGTCCTTTAGACCATATGTCCCTTTCACAATTACTTAATTTTACCCTGTTCCGGACCAGAACCTGCATTCTAAGTGCTCCTTGTGTGTCTTCTGCATCAATACTTAGGTTTATATTGTGTATGCCTTTCATTTTTTTGAATGACTCTACACTATGCTCTTTTCAGACATATATTCTGGGTTACATCAGTCTGATTATAAGGGAGGGAGCTAGGGAGAGGAATGCATGCACTCATGAAGATCTTTACTTTGTCTTTTAGTTCTTCTCATCATTATGAGAGCAGTCACTTAGCCTAAAAGGAGTAGGCTTTCTTGTCAGAGAAGGTAGAAAATATAAATGGATGGATGAGTATGGCAATAAAACTTTATGGCACTGGAACTAAAGTGAATCAACTGTAAGCTTACCCAAGCCAGAGCCAAAGAAGCATTTTTCTTCCCATTTAACAAAGAATAAAATCACAAAAATGCCCTATAACTGGACAGCGATCAGAAGTAGGCCCTTAGGTGAACTATATGTTTGGCACACTCGCTGTTAGCCTGTGCTTTCTTTCCAGGCATACCCCGTAGAACATATATGAGTCCTTTCAAGTTCTCTAAAAATCTTTTTTTGCCATACTGAAGCTTCTGTCAAGGTAGTTGATGAAAACGCTCCATATGGTGTTTGATGCTTGCAGAAATCACACATGAAGGATAGAGAGCGTTCAATTCTAAACTTGTGCTTTGTCTTTATATACGAGACCTTTCACTGTCTTGAGTTCTGAGTTACCACAACTGGATCACGTTAATTTGGACTCTCAGTTTAGGAGACTCACCTAATGAGGTGATGCAGTAGGTAATATGCAAATCATTAGCAAATGACAACTGGATGAGAGGTTTCTCTTTAGTGATATTTACATTTTCAGATCAGCGTATACATTTTTCATTAGTCACCTTTTCCTTCCTTTGGAACAAACATTTCTGTGATGCAGCAGCTGCTGTGTAATCCTTTGTAGACACGGAGAAGGTGGAACCTAAACTCAGCAGATTGTGCCTGCTGTTCTTGTGAGCTCCACCGGGGATTTCTTCTACAGCACTGACCGACCTTCAAAGGAGATGTCATAGTAAGCAAGATATCCAGCATGCAACAAAACTACACAGACTGAGGAGAAAGAGCTCAAGGTACATTGACTGGCAGAATCGTATGAAATCCAGGACAATGTCAATTACAAGCTGTTACATGGTTTTATCTTTACAGAAAAAGAAATTAACAGAGGTGATATTACTGATGCCCTTTATAAATAAATCAAAATTATGCTTTAATTCAGTGACATTCCTTTTTTTTTTCTTTTTTTTTTTTCTTTTTCATTTTCATTTGGCGAGCTAGATCTAGCTGGCTTAGGTCTGATGAGGCTAGCAGGCAAAAGCATTTAGCCCCATGCCTTTCTGAGAAATCTACAGGATGAAATCAATTTCTCATTTATTATTTTCTCAAACAAACAAACAAAAAAGCTTCAGAAAACCATAACATGTGTTGTTACATTATTCAGAATCTTTCCAGAACAGGAATTTTATCCTTTTGTTGTGCATGTTATGGAGTTTCTTCAAAGAACTGTTCAGAGAGCTTCAAAAGCTTTTTAACAAAGTGACCGGAGTAGTTTGTATTCCTCAGCCTATAAAGATACGTAGGTATTATTGTTTCAATCTATGCAGCCTTGGAAAGATCAACATTTGACTACAAAATATGCCTAAAAAGGACCTGAAGTGATTTTTGTGGGTATAAAAATGCTATTAGCTCAAAACCCAAGAGATATATTAAGAAGACTTCTTTCCCTCTGACAAACCCTTCCTGTTACTCTTCCTGCAGGGTGCCACACTTGGCAGCTGAGCCTTCTTTGTGTAAAGGCCATAGCCCTGCATACACTTGCAAGCTTAACTCTAGAACTAAGAGATGTAAATTATGTCAATTGGGCTGCTTACAGAGCTGAGCATGATGATATGAGTAAGCTTTACAGGTAGGAAACCCATCACTGAGTCTTGTGCTGTCTGGCCTCCTACGTGGGAAACTGGTGGTTTCCAAACTAATTACTTCAACTCCACTGTTGTCCTCGTACTTAAAATAGAGTGGTGACCTTGGTAGAAATTCAGTTGCAGATCCTTACAACTAAAAGTGGGGCTTACAGTCTCTGAAGTTTTACGGGAAACAGCTAGCTGGAAATTTGGAGAAGAGAGTTCATCTTTCAGCAGAGGAGGGGAACATTTTCTTGGCAGCACAATTTTATCTCAGGGATGTCAAGCTGATACCCAGGTTGGTAGTCAGAGGCATGACAGTTGCTCCAAAAAGACTCAGTAAATAAACCTGCTGTTACTGATAGCATTGCCAGCTGTGTGATGCATATATAGATGTCAGTATACAAACATATATGTGTGTGTGTAGCTAGACAGTTTTTTCTTCACAAAAGCTGCTACTACCCTGCAACCTGCTGCAGTTCTTTCTTACTATGGTTTTAGAGGTATAGTGGGGTATCTCACATAGATCAGATTATCATGGCTGGTTTATCAGGAAGTTCAAACTGTTTATTTGGGATACATTTAATTGGGAATTGATCTAGATGGAGCATTTCCTGTGGGCTTGAATTACTCGTGTCATGGTTAAAAGAAGAAACTCCTGCTTAACTGGGTCAAGAACTCAATTTAAATGGGATGTCTGTAGGGATTACATGGTACTTAACTATGGAATTCTGGTCTTTGTGATGCCTAGAGGCTAACAGTACCTGCATCACTTCTTCATTTGGCAAGTCATGATTGCAGCTGCGCTATGCTAACACCTAGTCTATAAAACTCTTGTTTAACAGCAGTGATATTTAGCTGGCTTTGAAAAGAGGGTAGCATCAATTCTCAGCTGAGTTTACCTGTGTTAAGGCAAGCTATGTTAAGCTTGCCAATAACAAGGCTACTGTTATATTTCCAAGGCTGAAATGAGGCTAATCCTCAAGGCAGAGCAGAGGTCTTTACTTCTTGTGTCCTTGGGTTACCTGTAACTCTTCAGTAAAGTGCTGGTGCAGGGCTGGGGATGATTCGGACAAGTAAGGTAAATCCATCTAAGAACTGAGACGGAAAAGCAAATATTCTGCTGAAAACTATGGGTCATGTACATACATGGTCTATCATAACTACTCCAGAACACATCAGGCCTCTGCCAATGTGAGAGCAAGGCAAGACCCTGACCCCAGATCTGAATGTGGGCAAATAGGACTTCACAAAATGTCTTAGTAGTGAAAGCAGCGACTGCTCATTCCTTCTTATCACTGCTCATGTGTGGAAATTGTGTCAGGTTTGTCCTTTCCATGCTGAGTTGGACTGAAACACAGTAGGGCAGCTGTGTAGTAGCTGTGCCAGCTGTTCTGAGAGGCCAGTAACATCTGGCAGGACACAGCAGTGAAGAGGGAAGGTGGAAAACTTCAGTGTGCTTGTTTTGTATGGATCATTCAGGGCCCAAGCTGCATTACACTAAAGCATTTGGACAGTTTTGCTCAGAGACAAACTCAGTCTAGGTGCACTTTAATTCTACCTAAACAGTATCTAATATCATGACAGGTTCAGATGCTAATCCAGGCATTTTCCAGTAATGATGTTGCCACATGAGCTCTCTGTTTCACTTGGTAATAAAACAGCCTCTATCATTTCAGAATAGGAGTTTCGATTACCTGTTTATGAAGAGTTTGTAACTGCTTTGTGTCCTTGATTCACTAAGGGTGGGGTCCCATGACCTGTGTGTCTGCGTAACTCTCCCTGGAATGAATGAAGGGAATTTCACAGTTAAAGCAATTGTAGTAGCACTCGCGGGACAATTAGAACAAGGAGGAAATTCAGACTGGCCACTTCCTCTGCATCTTTGCTTGGGCATTATAAATGACTGTTTGATAAGGCTAAGTGAATACTACACCAGCAGTATTCCCAGTTCTGTAGCTGTAATTACTTCTTCTACATAACCCTCCATATGAATGTCATTTGGAAAATAGCTGTGTACATACAGTGTCCGTTATTGCCATGTGTTTGTGGGTAACTTGTGAAATAGTTTTTGCTCTTTAGAAATTGTCCTTCTTATTCTTCTGTTTCCAGGTATAAAATCAGGGGAAATAGGCCATGAAACTTACGTGGTTTAATCAGAGCAGGATATAAAAACACTGAAATTAAAACTATTTGTAAATATCCCACTGATTATTTACTGCAGTAAGTATATTGTGAATGTTTTTACATCACAAATATCTGGTGGGGATAGGATAGTTTTGGAGTCAAATAAAATTTCAGTTTGGAGTAAAAAAATAATTTCACCTTCAGTCAGCTCTGCTGCTAGAGAAAGGATCAGCATTGCTATGTCTGAATATATGAAAACTGAAATTTAGAGGTAGGACGGTCCTACCAAATACAAGTGGTAGTTCTATGAACATTTTTTCTAATATCAAAGCTCTTTTAAATCCTCTAAAGAAGAGTGGTAATGTTAGATTTGTCTTCACTTGGATCATTTTATTGATCTGATTTAAAGAAGTGCTTATCAAACTATTACATACACATAATGATAGAGGTGATAAATTGAGCTATGATAGGTCAGCTTTTCTTCCAGATAAAATATTCATGAACTGCAGCATGAGAATTCACTCAGAATTCCAACACAAAAACATGGTATTAAATTCCAGTGTACCAACCACCAACTGCAAGCAAAAACCTACAAAATCCAGTCACATTGCTAAAATATGCATAAACATGATTTTTTAGGCTGCAGATTGTAGTGACATAATGTGAGATGTGAGATAAACCAAATACTCTGATCTAGTTACAAAAATTAATATACAGTCCTATGTTCTGAAGCTACATGTTTTTTCATGAGAAAGACCTGCAAAATTCTCTGCTCACACTGTAGTTTCCACATGTTTGTGTATATATATTTGGACAAGTGCATAAAATTCCTCTTAGTGACAGTCCCAGCTGTTATGGCAGTGGGGCAAGTTGGCTGGTTTCAGTGGCCAGACTGCCATGCCCTGATCACAAATCCAACACATCATTCCTGCTGTTTAGGGTGAACTCGAAGCAGTTGATCTTGTAGATGATTAATTTGTTACATATTAAGTGAGCTTCTAAAGTCCAATCTGGATAGAGTGATCTCTCTTGATAATGGTGCTCTGCTGTATGATAATGTTTCTTTTAGGGGAAAAATGCATTTTTCTTATACATTATCTCATGCAAGAACATCTGTGGCAAACAAGCTCTCACATTCTGTTTTTATTCCTGTATTTTTAGAGTTTTGTCTTATAACATCTTGAGTACCAGCAGCTGGACTTTCAAAACTGTCTTCCGAGTCTGCCGTCACTATGTGCCACTTGGTATGTGGCTGACACATGTGAGTCACATAAGGAGCAGCTGCAGAATCTTACAGGTTTTTATTGCTGCAATATTGATTGTAATGCTGGAGCTTCAACAAAGTGGCACCTTCCACAGGAAGACAATATCAACAACAGCTGTACAAGTACCCCCACCTTACTCATCCTTAGGACTGAGGGGTGAGAGGCTACTCTACATGTGGTGTGGTTTTTTGTTGTTGTTTTGTTTTCCCCAGGATATATTCTTTTTCTCTGTGAAATATCTCTTGGCAGACTTTTGATGAAGCAGTATGCACCTTTTTTTTTTTTTGCCATGTTTCCTAAGAAAATTAGTCCTTTGAGATCATACTCTATGCCTTTCCTTTTTGCCTAGTATATTTTAAACCTGTCAAATTTGAAAGAGAGTGGGTAATGTGATCCTCCAAATTTCATGATAATCAGCAGCTGGATATCAGAAACCAAAATTAATGCTCCCTAGTGAGAAAAAGCAAGCGAAACTCAGCAGTTATCTGTTATTTATGGCAACAGTGAACTAACCACTTGGTGTGCATACCTTGTTGCATGATAACTGATGTGGTGGATGTTAGGTTTATTGCCTAAGGGAAGAAATTTCTGGGATAAAAGAAACACATGTGCTTACAGAGCACATCTGAGTCCCTGCCACAGCAGGAGAAAGGACTTTGTTTCTCATGGAGGCTCATAGAGGGAGGAAGTAAACTCCAAATTAAGGAAGCAAGCTTTCAGCTCCAGGTCTGGAAGCTCAGAAAGGACTCTAGGATGGGAAAAAAGGTCAAAAGGAGGTGGGACATGGAATGGGAGAATAGCAATGGGCAGGAGTTTGAGAATGAGGATCTGGCATGATAAGCCTGCTTTTAGGAGATGTTAAGGACATTTGGGCAACAGGAGCTTTTTGCTTTTGGGCAGTGTAAACATCCTGTCTAGGCATCCCCAGCTCAGATTCCAATTTAAATATGAAGGTACATGTGCCCTTCCTGCTGAATAACTTTCCTTGTGTTAGAGTTTCCCCCTACACTGTGATTTAAGTCATTTGGGAATGATCCTGACTGATGACTACCACAGTGTCTTCACTGAATGGATCCTTTGCCTAGCAGCTTCATTCATGCTGTTCCTGCCACAAAAGGATTGAAAATGGAGCTACAGTTCCAATCCTGATATCTCCAGGCAAAGTAAGGCAGGAAAAGTGCAGCATGGCACTTAGCATGATGAAAACACACAGAGCAGGAAATACACAATGGCTTTAGGACAAAATGAAAACAAAACAGGGAGTGGATTTCTTTCTTTCTTTCTTTCTTTCTTTCTTTCTTTCTTTCTTTCTTTCTTTCTTTCTTTCTTTCTTTTGTTCGTTCGTTCTTTCTTTCGTTCTTTCATTCTTTCGTTCTTCCTTTTGTTCTTTCGTTCTTTTGTTCTTTCGTTCTCTCTCTCTCTCTCTCTCTCTCTTTCCTTTTCTTTAGATTTCAGCATTAGTCCCTTTGTTTCTAAATGTGCTCGAAGAAACATTAATCCCCCTTATTAGTGTCAGGTATTGTTCACAGATTCAGCTGATTTTGGTGCTGCCATCTTGACATTGCTGTGTATGTGGGGTAGCTGCATGGCTTCTCATCTGTTTCAGGACACCATGTGGCAGAAACATGCTGTCAGGCTTTGTGATCTGATGAACAGCTTCATCTGGCAAAGGGGGCATGAAGAAATATGCAATGGTGCTGCCTGGTAGGCCTTACAGTAGGGCACAGGGAAAAAGGAAGCCAGTGTAAAAGGATCTCTCTCTGCAGCTTGGTCAAATGTACCTCCCTAGTCACGTAACCACAAGTGCATGGGAGTACCTTTCACCTGGCTGTGCATGGGTAGTTCACATTTCAGGGGACAAAAAAAAACCAACAGATTACATAATTTATAACCATAACCTTTCAGGAAAATCTTACCTTTCCTGTGTCCTTGGTTAGATAGTATCAAAGATGTACTTTCTGAAATACTGTTAGAGTCACTGTAGTCCACGGACAGTTGTCTGTAATCTTCTGCTGACTGGCTATAATTCATTAATCTGGACCCATTGTCTGGAAACAGAAAGGAAATATGATGAATCACAGGCTTTAATTATAAATCATTGTATCTGCATGATAGCTTAAATAACATTTGGCTCGACTAACTTTCATATAGCTCATGTCTGTTTGTTTTTTAACCCTGACTTCAGTTCCTTAAGGACAGAAGGGAGCTTGGTAACTTCATTCTTTTATCTCTGACTTTCTATAATTTTATTCTGTCCCAAAATAGTTCTCATAGTTCTCCTTGACCATTTCAAATAAAACAAATCTAATATATTAATTGTATTCTGTATGCTTAACTGAAAACTTTAGCAAGCAGATCTCACCACACCTACACAATTGCTGGAACAATCATGGTAGAAGGGGAATGGCAGGAATTTGAGGTTAATAGGCAGTTGAAGATGGGACCAACCCTTTTGGCAGCAGTAGAGTTTTCACCTGCTTATGCAAGTGTGAACCTATAAGCTCTGTTTCTGAATCAGTGACTGAGCCACTATGATTTGAGGGGTGCTTTGTATGTTTTCAGAAGAATCTCCTTTTCTTATGACCAATATGTAATAGAAAAGTTCCACAAATATTTAAGCAAGTGTGTAATTCTAGCTAAAGTTAGTGGAACATACATTTGATTTGCTGAATGGGGATTGGATTGTTCATATGCCTAATACTGAGCCTCCAAAAAAAGTCTACCTAACCTGAGCCAAAAGCCAACCCATCCCTTACCCAAACCCCAGAGAAATGAGTTGAAATGAATAACACAATCTAGGGATGTAGAAAAAAAAAAAGAATTTATCTGGACCTGAAGTCCATATTTAGTTACAGTTAGAGTATTACTGTGAGGCTTGACAAAATCTTGATTTTCATCAAATGAAATGTGAAATCGGTGTATGCTGGTGTATTTATACAGTAAGCAGGATTTGGCCTTGTGTCTTGAAATCTCTCCAGCAATCCATGTGCACATTTGTAAAACATATTTTGAATAGAAAAATGGAACTAAATGTCAAAAAGAAACAACAAATCATTGCTTGAGTAATCAAATGGGAAGGATGAATATATAGTTTTCAATGGCTACTTCAAAGAACCCCACTCTTTACCTTTGAAAATCCATTGGAGCATACAGAGTATAACAGCAGTGCTGAAAACAGTTTTGTTTTATATGCACAGTTCTTATGCAGACTGCTTTAAGAGTCAAACACGTGCAAGCTGATTTGTTATCATTGCTTCACAGCCTTCAGACTATTGTCCTTTGAGGAAATAAGGAGCAGAAATCTTGCTGACTTGCCTTAGAGTCTTTCTATTATGAAGTAATTTATATGTAAAGCAATAAATATCTTATTCAACAGAACGTGTAATCATTACAACATGAAATTAAACAATTCACCTAGCTTGGGAAAGGCTGTGTGTGCCCTTATTGCACAGTTCAGATTAGAAGTTTTACTATACCTCGGTGAAGATTCATCTGGGATGACGGTGGTGAAGCGTCCAGGATTTTCTCATGTAGTCTTCTCCTTATGACATGACTTCTGTGAAGCTGAGAGGCTGTGCTGTCTTCAGTGGCTACCCGTTCTACCTAGAAGACAACGGCACTGCAAGTCAGGTGATAAGTGGACTTCAGCCCCTTGTACCGAAGCAGTCCTTGCCCTCTGCTTGTCAGAGGCTGCTGACTTGCGTGATGTAAGCAGCTTCATCTTCTCAGGCAGCCTTTGCAAAGCAGGACTGACTTCTGATGGCTCCACACTTCCGTGCTAGCTGTGTTTAAGAAAGGGCACACTCTGCCGCAGTGGGGAACAGAGTAACAGAGAGCACAAGGGAAAGGTCAGCTCAGAGTGTTAATGAATACTGTTTGAAAACAGAAAAAATGTTTGCAAGTTGTTTCCTTTCAGTTTCATTCAGCTTGTCAACAAAAATTGTTTGTTGGTATTTCAGATCTTGAAAAGACACAGGTGCTCACTTATTAAAGGCTTCAGATGGGCTGGCTGGATTGTATTGTAACTGTTCAGCTCCACCTAGGGAAGATGGATGAAATTCTCAATGTGATGTGAATGTGATTCTTCTGAATTTCACAAAGAAAGTCTGAAGCCACAGTGGCAATGAGAAAATCTTTTCTCTTGTGCTCAGTCTATTAATTTGGCCAACATGAAGTCTCTGTAGAGATTATTATTGTTTCATTTATTAACAAAGGAAAGAAGATACTAAGAGTACAAAAGGTGGATTTGTATCATTTCCCAGGAGTGTAGGAGCGGTGTGAGAGATGGTTTCATTGCCTCATTTGCTAGGACACAGACCCACTCAATTTTCTGCATAGAAGCCTACAGCCAAATCTCACTTCTTTAACTCATACAAACATTCACAGAAAAAGAGATGGTTAGGTATGAGAGTAGTACTTACCTCACTGACACTTCCCACCACAAACTGGACCATTTTCTTTATGTAGACATTTACTGGTAGAGAAGAAGATTCCTTCTGATGTGCCTCACACGCTTCCAGAATTGATTCAGGAGAAAGTCTTTTATGTGGCAGATCTTCACATAGCGTCAGCAAGAGACTGTGTAGTTGGTCACTCAGCTGGAGGGACTGATTCAACAGAGGCACAGTTAAATGACATCGCACAGGGGTCTGAAGTCCTGTCTAAACTGGGACCGGGAACTTCTGTAAGCCTTTCACCCTCAGTGAGAAATGGGCACTGACTTCCTTTAGGCTTTGGGACAGATCTGGACAGGCAGCAAAACAGCACTAAATGAAGCCTCTAATGGGATGCGGGACAGCCTTGAAGGGAACAGGCATGTACAAGGAGGATCATCAGTCTGCATAGGTGCTTCTTGGTGACAGCTGGCAGCAAAGTCTGCTCCATGGCTTTGCTAATTAGACTGTGCATCTTCAAGATTCATGCAAGCTAGACATGTGGTAGTATTAGCTTCAAAAAGTTAAGGAGTTATTCCAGCCAAAGCTGTTACCATAGAGACCAGATACTTAAATTTTAAGGAGTTATTTAGCTTATAGAGTCTTTTTGCTTATATCATGTATACCCACTAAAAGCTAGCATTTTTCCAAGTCAAAAGCATGTAATCAAAACAGGGATATAGAAATGAAGCAAAATGTGTGCTACACATCTTTGAAAGGATTATGGATAGCAAGAGATGCAAAGTTTCGATTAGCAGAGATGCAGGTAGAATTTGCCCAGAAATAAGGGCAAAGTTCTTTAGCTTTTATTCCATCATCCCATTCTTTGAAAAAGCAGAGCACCAGAATCATGCAGACGTGATGCTTTTCTTCTAGCCCTGACTGTCTTGTCAGGAAATTTCTCATTACGGTCTTTGAACAAGTAATCTTTACTCTTAAAGGAAAAGTAAAATTAATCTTAATAGGAATAATTATGCTTTTCAAGGAGGAAAGGAAAGATGAAAGGCCTAATTGAATTCCTGATTTGGATGAACCTGAATTTTTGGTGAGGTCTAGACCATGACACATGCATTCCAATTAGCCATGTTCTTCTTAGTGGTCCAAAACAAGAAGCCCATCTTACTGACACTTCATGTTATGCCTCTCGATCTGTGAACCTACCAAGATGAGACAGAATACAAGAAAAGAAAAATGTTTGTGTTACTGGCCTGGTTTGGAGGAACCTGATAGTCTGCTGACCAGTAGAGGGTCATTCCTAGGGAATACACCAACATCTGTCAAAACAGAAAAGGAAATCCTTTATGAAGTCTTTATATGTAAGTCTTTCTAACTGTAGCCTGATTTGTTTAATGTAATTAGAAATGGATTTTGACAGTAGATTCCTGGCATGCTTCATTAAAGCCCTGGCCTTATCTTTACAAGGTAACCTCAATATTTATTTTATAGTACGCCTCACCTTTGTTAGTCCGATGCACTGGTTTTTGTTCTGTCTGTGAAGTAATTCTGGTGCGCTGAAAGGGATAGCTTCTGTCTGAGGTGCATTGTTTTGGAAGGACAGATTTCCTTCAGCAGACAGTAGTACTGACCATGGACAAAGCACACGGATGGCAGGGTCTGAAAAACGTTAAAGAAGATAATGGAGTTCTTGTGGAATTCACTGAGCTCAGAAAATCATATTGCTGGGGCCTCAGCCCCACAGCAAAACCCATCACTGTGGCTTCCTGGAGATATACCGAGAAGTCAGTGGAGTCTTGTTCATTTATGTGGGGCTGATTTTGTGATCTGGGATTTAGTGATGGTTAAAGGCCTAATTTCCATCTCAGAATTTCACACATAAAAACGGTATACTGACTTTCATGGATTTCTGAAGCCTAAGGAAAGGCAGAATCACATCCCACGCACAGATTCTGGTTAAGATCTTGTCACTGTTCGTAGACCTGCCGTGCCACCACTGAGCTGTGTGTTGATCTGCATTCTCAGGTGACACCACCAGACCTGCCCTGCCCACCCTATGTGGGGGCTGTGGGATGGGGCAGCCCCTGCCCTGCCACCCCTATAACCAGACTTGGCTCTGGGCTCCCTGTCCCCAAGGGAACAGCTGCTCCCTTGCTGCTCCCTACAAAAATCTATGTGAGAGTGTCCCAGCAATGGACTGGTTCCTTCTTGTAAAGTGCTGAGTTCTCCTTAAAAATATCCACTGCAGGGACCACAGTCCCAGTGGTCTGAAGCAGAAGGAAGCAGGATGATGTGCAGTCTTCTGCAAACACTCTGCACTTGCATGGATATGTTAACTGAATCCAAGTGATTTGGTTAAACTATTCATTAAAAAAAGTATGATAAAAAGTCTAAGATCAAACTACTTAGAAAGAGGAAAAGCTGCATTAACTATGGCAATATTTAGATAGACTGTTCCTGGAAATGTGGGTAATTGAATAATTTTTTTTTTTAAGTTAGCTATATTGATCCAGTCTCTTCAGTCTAGCCAGTGAGAATAGGGACTATTCAGATCTCCATAGGAGAAGATTTTGAAAACATGCAGTAAATGCTTTGGTATTTTTTCATTTAAAAAGTTACATATTTTAAATGACAACTTCATTCTTGTGCATGGTGACCTTTCCACTGTGAAAAAAAGGAACAAAGGGTTAACGTTAAGCTGGGAAGGTCTTAAAATCATCAGCTACTTTTTTCTTTGTTCCTTCTCCATTTCTGTAGTATTATATTCAAATACAACCAGCACATGCTGGGAAATGTGTCTGTTTTAGAAACACCCAGCTTGTACTTTAGTCTTAATGTAAGTTATCTGGCTTTCTGTAATGCTGGCCAGCCCACCAGTCAGCTTACCTGCCTAACCACAGTGCCCAAACACACTGAAATACTGCTATAGCAAGTTGGTACTGACCAACACCAGGTCTAGCAGAATTTATTATGCCAAGCACAGTGCTGCACAGATACAGCAGTACTAGCCCTCGGAAGAGGCAGACTCCAGAAGACGCAGTAGAGCTGCACTTGGGAGAAGTGGAGCCAGAGCTCTGCCTGAGTTAGCTGGGCTGATGCTGTGCAGGGACAGTTCACCTTTGCTGCCCTCCAAGACACTGGAGCACTGGGGATTCAGCTTCAGAATGAGTCAAACTTGGCATCACTTCTGGACTTGAGCTCTAAAGACGTGATTGAGCGGCCTCGCATCTGACCTATAAACCAGCTTGGTTCTGCATCCCGACTTCTTGTTTTCATCTTCTGGTCATAATACCATAAATTTATCAAGTGCAGCACAGGGAACACATGCTGATTATCTCAATTCAGCAGACTTTTTTTTTGAAATGAGATCAGGACAGCATAGGGTCAGCTTAGTGTCTGACACAGAGTTAATAAGCTGTGATGGACCTGAGCTGAATTTATCCAGGTGGGTATCTCAGTGCTGCAATCCTTTGCATGTTCCTAGTGCCTGTATTATCTGGCTAGATTACACTAGATAATGGAGAACTGATCATACAGTCAACCTGTTAGAGTGGTTCAGTCCATTAAAACTTGGTTGTTAATAAATGTTCATCCCTCCAGCTACAGCAGAAGTTACACATCACTTGGATAAAAGTCTCCTACTGGCTGACTGAGGAGCCATGTGAATTTGCCTGTCCTCCTCTCTCTCTCTCTCTCAGTACTTGCAGGGTATGATCCTAGCTGGCACTGCCCTTTCTGTGTGTGTATGTTATTCCTATGGTAGGAAGGGCACCTCTGTCCTGTTCCACCATCTGTAGTTCTACTTAGATTAATTAATTGCCATGTGATTTAGGAAAAAAAAAATAACTGTGTGAAGGCCTGCATGTTGGCACAGCAGTTTGCATGCAAACCCAGCAGCACCGAAAGGCTTCTCATTGTTATTAGAAATATGTTATTACTCCTGCTAGTGCTTTTTGTCTCAAACAAGCAAACAGGCAAACAAGCCAAATCATACCAAACAAACAAACACAAAAACAACAACAACAACAAAAAAAACAACCCCACAAACCAATCCTCAAAACCCCAAAATACTCTGGAAGGCATTTCCTATGGTAAGACATTTTTTCACCTCACCTTTGTGAAGGTCTTCCAGAAGCTGCACTGTGGCAAGGTACAAGAGTGCCCATATATCTTCTTCTTCCAAAGGGCTTCCTTTTGCCCACAGAACCTCGGCCAGTGTCACACAGGAACTGCTCATGGCTGCTGC